CTGTCTCAAAATAAGGAAGCCTACTACACTTGATCATCGCCAGAAAGACTGAGAAATCCATTTCAAAATAAAATAAAGAGGGATGGGGTTACCTCATTGGCAGAGCACTTGCCTAGCATATGTGAGGCCCTGAGTTTAATCCCAGAACAATGAACTTTTTTGGGGGGGGGTTGAGACAGGGTCTCACTATATAATTGAGAATGACCTGGAACTCACTATGTAGCCCAGGCTGGTCTCTAACTCACAGCGATCCTCCTGCCTCAGCCTCCCAAGTGCTGGGATTACAGGCATGCACCACCATGCCTGGCTTTTCTTTTTTTTTTCCTTTTTGAGATGCTCTATGAAGTTCAGGCTGGACTCAAAGTCATGGAAATCCTCTTGCCTCAGCCTCCTGAGTGGTAGAACTACAGGCATGTGCCACCATGCCCAGCTCTGAACATTCTTTTTTTGGGGGGTGTTTGAGACAGGGTCTCACTATGTAGTTGAGACTGACCTGGAACTCACTAAGTAGCCCAGGTTGCCTCAGCCTTGCAAGTGCTGGGATTACAGGCGTGTGCCACCACGCTTGGCTTCTGAACATTCTTGTAACCAGGTTTAACCATGTGAAATTTTGCCAGTTTTGGAATCAACAAATGTTAAGTATTAGTAATTTTATACATGTGGTTCCATTTTATACATGTAGCTCAATACACACTCCTCTCCCCTTCCCAGTGCCTCTCACATGATAGATAAGCACTGTACCACTGGCCTCTATCCCCAGCTCATTTGTTTAATTTTGAGATAGGATCTCCCTAAGTTACTCCTACTGACCTCAAACTGGTCATGCTCTCAGCCTCCCAAGTAGCTGGAACCGTGCACATCTCTGAGTACACACGTGTTTGCACTGTGTTGGATACACACACCCAGGGGCAGATATCGGAGTCTCCAAGGTGCACATATCTTTAAATAAACTAGATAGTGCTGGACAGTTTTGCAAAGTGACTCTACCAAGGGCTGGGGATTTAGCTCAGTGGTTCCACCGCCTGCCTGGCAAGCACAAGGTCCAAGTTCAATCCCCAGTACAAAAAAAAAAAAAAAAAGTGACTACCCAGACATACATCATCAGCAATTGTTCTACATCTTCACCAGCACTCTAATCTGCTGACCTATTAGTACTGTCTTTTTTCATTTTAGCTGTATTTATGGGTATGTGGTGGTATCGCAATGTGGTTTTAATTTGCATTTCCTTCATGACTAATAAAATTGAATACATTTTCATCTGCCAATTGGTCTCTTAAATATATCCTTTTTATGCCAACGTGGTGGTGCATGCCTGTAATTCCAGATACTCAAGAGGCTGAGGAAGGAGAATTGCAAGTTCAAGGCCAGCCTGGGCAATTTAATGAGGGCCTGACTCAAAATAAAAAAATAAAAGGCTGGAGATGTAGCTCAGTGATAGAGTGCTGCCCTTTGCCCATTCCAGGTGAGGCCCTGGGTTAAATCCTTAGTTTTCAAAAAGTATATCTCCTCTATAGATGAAGTATCTAATAGTAAAGTCTTTGCCCATTTAAAAAAAATTAGATTGCCTGCCTTTATTTGTACCACATAGAAGTCAGTTAAGTTTTTTTGTTTGTTCTTGTGGTACTGGGGATTGAACTTAGGACCTTGTGCTTGCAGTCAGGCAGCAACACCACTGAGCTAAATCCCCGGCCCAGATTGTCTGCCTTTATTAATTTGTAGGAAATCTGCAAATATATTTGGTTGCAAATCCTGCTTAAGAAGTGTTTGCCTACTGTGAGACTTGACTGAGCTAAAGTGACTCGTTGGCCGGCTAATGACCCCAGAGACTGTTCTGCACCCCTCCCCTTATCAAACAACAGATACCGAGGATACAACATTCAATTTTGGCCTTAACTTGTTGGGATGGAAAGCTTGGGTCAGCACCCGCAAGGACCAATTATTGTTATATTGCTCATCCTCATGTTTGGTCCCTGCATGGAAAATGGAGATCAAAACTCATACATCAGAGAGTAGCTGCTGCCCAACATTATCAGATGCTAATCATGTGGAATAATGAAAATTGGTTTGAACATAACAAGGGGTAAGGAGTTTACCCCCAAAACAAAGGGAGGAATGATAGGGAGAACTTTTGTAAATAACAAAAATCTATAAAGTGTTACAATGTAAAATGGCTTCTGCTGTCTCTAACAGCAGTTTGTTTTGTTTAGCTCAGAACTAACAGACACCAAAGGCACTAATTGCTGACTGAGGCATTTGGTCTGACCCTGAGATAACGGGGCACAGCAAGGTCTTGAGCTCTGATGAGACTGGAGCCACCTGATCGTAAGTGTCTAAATGAAAGAACCATTGTTAACATTTGCTTTCCTGACCCTGAACAGCCCAGTCCTATGGGCTAGCATAGACAGCTAGGCGAATCTTCAAGGTAAACTCCCCAATAGCAAAGAACTGTTGAAAGTTAACTGTCTTGTGACCATGATTTGTATATCTGTAAATGAAATGTAACCACCTGCATGAGGTCATGGCTGTAAACCCTCTAAGTCCTATGCACAATCCTGTAGGGGGGCTTCACTTCTCTTAGAGAGTGGAGTCTGAACGTGTGAAATGAACTTCTTTCAGTCTTATCTATGTCCCGGTATTTGGTGTACTTGCTGCCTTGGTACAACACCTACCTCAAAGTCACGAAGGTATAGAGCATTCATTTTTAATGCTTTTTTCCCCAAACCGAATTAACCTGACTAATTAATGGTTCTAGAAACACACCTCCAAACTGACTGAAATTCAAAAGCCAGCAAGAGACCTGGGGGGCAGAGATCTGCACCTGAGCTAGGGACATGGTTCTGTGAGTGATAAAAACAGGGAAATGAGAAGGAGCCAGTTTCTGGAGGAAGATGGCAGCTTTCATTCTGAATGCACTGATTCTGGTTTAGTCATGAATGCTGGTTTTCTTTCCTTATCAGAGCCAGGCTATGGTTGAAGCATAATTCTGAATGAAGGCTCTGAGGAAGGAGGGTGTTTCCCCTTCAGGACATTAATAATTACAAATGATGTTTTCCCTGATCTTTTATCATATGCTGAGTGTATTCTCAAAATTGCTTCTGAATCCTCCAAACAGTCCCCTGGGGTGGTACCCTCATCTCCATTTTGCAAATGAGGAAGCTGAGCTCCCTAGAGGCAGGGAAACTGCCTGATCTGTGCAGTAAGTGCTAAGTTGTGTCTTGCCAGCAAACCACACCATCTCTGAGACATCACCAGGAGGCTTTCATCTTTTGGTTTCCTAGGACTGCTGGAACAAACCACCATGAACAGAGAGGCATAAATAGACGGATGTTGATTTCCTCCTCGTTCAGGAAGCCAGAAGTCTGAAACCAACACGTGGACATGATTGGCTCCTTCTGAGGGCTCTGAGGGGGACCCGTTCCATGACTCTCTCCTGGCATTGGTGACAGCTTCCTCCGCATGTAGATGCCCCCCTCCGGCCGATCTGTGCTTCCATCTGCACATGGCTATCTTCTTACAAGGACAATAGCCAAATTAGATTAGCCACTGTTCCAGTCCAGTGTGACCTATTTTATTTTGTTTTTAAAGTTAAGGTGTTGCTGTGTTGCCAGGCAACTGAGTTCAAAGGATCTTTCCACAGTCAGCCTCCCAAGTGCAGGAGCTGGGAGGATAGGCACTGCCATTGTACCTGGAATTTTCACCTTTCCATGTGCTTGTTTGTATGGTGCTGGTAATTAAATCCAGGGCCTTCATGCATGCTACGCATTGCTCTACACTAGCTACACCCCCCTCTTCCTCATTTTTATTATAACTAAAATGACCTTATTTCCAAATAAGGTCACATTCTGAGGTACTGGGTTACAACTCCAACATATCATTTGTTTATTTGCTTGCTTGCTTGTTTAAAGGTTTCACTATGTAGCCCAGGCGGGCCTCAAATGTGCATTGATCCTCCTGCCTCAGCCTCTGGAGTACTAGAATAACAAGTGTGTACCACCATGCCTGACAGTCAACAAATTTTTTTGAAGAATACCGTTAAACCACAGCAACTCATTAAATCGAGTAAGCTCTGGAACGAAAAGGAAATCATTTCTTCCCGATTTGGAAGATTTTATAAAGAAACAAAAGTTGACTATTTCTTGTTAGATTCCTAAGTTCCCCAGAAATGGCCAAGATTCTTAGAATTCCTATAACTTCTATTAATACTCATGACACCTGTGTCAAGCCTCCCACTGCCTTTTGATAGACATATGGACAATCAAGTCGTTGCTGTCCCACAAAAACCCAAACCCATCACCCCTCTTCTCTTCCTCCTGACTCCCCTTTTCTTCACAAAACTGGCTAAAGACTCGCCATCTTGCAGAATCTTCTTTTCCCTTCCATTTTCCTCAAGTCTCCCAGGTTCACTTCCTTTCTGTTCACTCTCCCTGGGGAAGTTGGAAGGTACACAAACTTCCCGACCTCTCTCCTCGTTCCCAGGCTCATCTCCAGGCCGGCCTCCCACTGGCTTTATACGGCTAATGTTTCTTTTCTTTTTCTTTTTGGCATGGGGATTGAACTCAGGATCTTGCACTTTCGAGGCAGGCGGCGGAACCACTGAGCTAAATCTCCTAAGGTTCTAGTAACACGCCCCAAACTGACTGAAATTCAAAAGCCAGCGACCCGGGAGAGGGGGCAGAGATCTGCAGCTGATCCTCTTTGCATTCAATGCCAACCAAACTTCACACCCAACTCACCTCCCTCCATCTCTTCCAAATGGAATACTGTGCCCATTGCCAAAACCCTCTCCTACCGCACCCTTCTCCGATACCCTGCCTGCTTTTTTTTTTTAACCCGTCCCCACTTTTGAGACAGAGTCTCGCTTTGTAGTTCAGGCTGGCCTCGAACTGGCGGCGATCCTCCTGCCTCAGCCTGCAGCGAACCCTGGGCTTAGAGGTGTGCGCCACCACGCTGGGCCCCCATACCCGCTCTCTTTTCCTTGCTGAGTTTCTGAAACACTTCACCTCTGTCCGAATTGTTCCACTGTACCGGGGGCATCGTCCCACACCCGCCTCCGCTCCTCACCATGTTCGGCTGCAGACTGGGTCCCCATAGGAGCCACGCAATCTACGTAGCTGGGAGAAACCCAGGGAGCCTCCCCAGCAGAGTCCTTACGAACTATAGACTAAAGCTAGCCGAAGCGTTTGGTTTCGGAAGATTCGGGGCAGCCGCTGTAAAGGACAGGTCGGGCAAGAACGTTTCCTAGCCGCTGCCGCGTGAGGGTACGGACACCCAAGGGCTCGGCTTGCGGTCCTGTGAGCCGCCGCTTCAGCCGGAACCTTTCTGCTGAGCACCGGCCGGGTGCTTTGGGGCGAAGCACACAGGAACCGGAAGTCATTTGAAGAAGCCTGACTTTAGGAACCTGCTCACCGAACTTGGAAGATGAGTGTCCGGTATTTCCTTAAGGCTAGAGGTAGAGGGCCTGGACTACAGGGTTAATTTCCCATGCTATTAACCCCTGATCATGAAGTGTTTCCTTCATCAGGTCTCACCTCTAGGTCGCCCACTTGGAGCTCTAGCTGAGCTGACAGCAGTTCTGGTCCCGGAGCCCCAGTCTGTGTTTCCCTGGCTGGGGTCTGCGTGCGCATTTCCTGGACTGGGAGGCAGGAGGGAGATTCAGATTCTAACAGCTTGGTTTCCTCTGTTTGTTTTATTTTCCTGTGGCTGTGATGGCAGGGTGACCGTCCACTCGTTTTGCAAAGTCATTCATTATACGGTATTTATTCTGCTTGCAAAAAGATAGTCTGGGGACTGGGGATGTAGCGCAGAGGTAGAGAGCTTGCCTGGCATGTTCGAGGCCCTAGATTCAATCTCTAGTACTGCAAAAACAACCCCAAGCAAACAAGAAAAAGGCCTCGTACAAATCTTGAAAAGTGTACAGTACGAAATAAAGCCTCCCATAAAACTACTACTTAGCCAGAATGTTTCTTATTGATGCATAAAATTTAATTTTCTTTTGTTCATCGGGTGAGAAACTAGTGAAAATCAAAGTGATGATAAATCTTAAATAGCAGTTACAAAATAGTCTCACTGCTGTCACAGATACATTAAGCTTTTGAAATCATGTCCTTAGGGCCTCATGCATGCTAGATAAGAACTCTACACTGAGCTATAGTGCTATAGTCCCAGCCCCCCCCCTTTTGAGATAGGGGTTCCCTATGCAGTTCAGGCTGGCCTTGAACTCACAATGTAGCCCAGGCTGACCTCGAACTCAGCAATCCCCCTGGCTCAGCCTCCTGAGTCCTGGGATCATAGGTATGCACCACTGCGCCCAGCTAACTACAACTTCTTGATGGACATAAAATACAATTTTCTAAGTAGTAAAATTTTGGACTGATCCGTAAGAATCAGAAGACATCTCTTTTGACTTAAAAATAACAAAAAGCCTAGTTTTAAAAAACTGCGTGCAGAGGTAACTACAATATAGTTCTAAAACTAACCTCCTTTAAAGATAGTTTCAAGTGATCCAGCTTAAATTATAGGAAAGTCTGTGGGACTTTGCAAAGGGTCTGGCCAGGCTTGCAACTAACCCTAAATGTAAGTAGGACATCCCAACTTGAATTTTGATAAATTTTCCTTTTAGGAAGGTGGACGTGCTTTCCAGTTCCACTGACGTCGTCCCTATTCCAGGACCTACAGAATTTTTGCTGTCGGAAAAAATCCACTGAATCTGAGAGAATTAATAGCAGTTTTGCTTCCTGTGGTAAAAATGCAAAGGAGTCTGGAAATGTACTTGATAAGATCTTCTCTTCAGAAGAGCAGGCTTCCATCCTGCATGTGTTGAATACAGCATCTAATAAAGAACTTGACGCCTTCAGTTTGCTTCGTGGAAGAAAGTCTGTCAATATTGTAGAGTACAGAGAAAAGTTTGGGCCATTTCAGAATTTGGAGAGTTTGACAAATGTGCCCTTGTTCCAGCATAAAACTGTTGTTCAAGTTTGTAACTCAATTCTTTGTCCCAAGACTGAAAAGACAAAAAAGTTGCCAGAAAATGTGCAGTTGAGAAAGTTCATCAAATCAGATGTAAAAAGCGAGAGACTTAAGGTATTGTCTTAGTGTCTGTTACACTGCCTTATGTTTGAGAACTATGCAGTAACATCATTCTGGTCATTGGGCTGGGAGTAACTAATACAGGGTATTTAGGTTTAATTGGTGGATTTATCCATACTTGTATAATTGCAAATTATGATTGCTGGCACATAATAAGGTATACAAGCCGGGCGTGGTAGAGCACGCCTGTAATCCCAGCACTCGGCAGGCTGAGGCAGGAGGATCGCTATGAGTTCGAGACCAGCCTGGGATACATAACAAGATCCTGCCTCAAAAAAAAACAGTGAGTTCCAGGTCAGTCTCAACTACATAGTGTGACTCTGTCTCAAAAAACAAAAACAAACAAACAAAAATAAGGTATACAGACAGTAAATTGGCAATTGAGAAAACTAAGCTACAGCTATTAAGTTTACTAGAATGAGAGAAAATTAGGCTGAGTGTAAGAGGGCATTATAGAAAAAGTTGATGTCAATAAATAGGTCTATGCAAGATATATTTAAGAGGACTGTTGTAGAGATATCCTGTGGTAATGAGAAATTAAGATGCAGAAATGGATTATGGCCAAGCAGTGACTCTACAACATTATACCAGTATTTATAGCAGGATTTAAAATTATTTTCTGCTCCCCATACCTCCTTTAACAAGCATTCTAAAACCAAACAGTAGCTGAGTCAAGAGGATCACCATGCATTCAAGGCCAGCCTGGGATACATAACAAGATCCTGTCTCAAAAAAAAACAAAAACAAAAACAAAAACAAAAACTTTTTCAGTGTAACCTGTAAAAGGAAGTATTCAAATTACTTGACATTAAATTTGGAGGAACTTAGGTCCTGTATAATATTGTTTGATAAAATATCCTCTTATCCCTTAATAATCATGTTTTTTTCTGGGGAAGAGAGGGAACAGCAGTGGTTTTTAGTTTTGAGGGACTGTGGATACTTCTTTGAAAACTTGGTGAAAGCTATGGACCTTCCAGGGGTGGAAAACAATAACATGTACACAGATACTGCATATATTTTAGAAGACTTGAAGAACACATTAGGTCCATTGATAGACTCTGGGTGGACGTTCTTCTGAAGCTGATCTGGAACATATTTCATCCACATTTTTCAGGGAGGACTTTGATTCACATTCAGGGTTAAAGCTGTATGTATTCAGATTATAGTGAGTTGTGTCTTATTTAGGGGTTTTTGTTTGTTTGCTTTTTTTGAGACAGAGCCTTGCTATATATAATTCACTGGTCTTGAACCCACAGCAGTCCTCCTGCCTCTGCCTCCCGAGTACTGCAGTTACAGGTGTGTACCACTACACCCAGCTTGCTGAATTTTTTGCTTTTTGTTTTAGAAAAACATTTATTGGTGCATTTTACATATACATAATGGTAACATTCATCATAGGGAATTTGTATCAGTACATGGTATATCTTGCTTCTATTTTTTCCCCATTCCACACCCCTTATGTACAAAAGCTGTTTCCCTTTTTCCTTTTTTTTCTTGTCCCTTCCTTTTTTCCCCCTCCTTCCTCCCTTGTTCCCCTTCTCATTTAACATTTTCCTATTTCCCAATGTCTACTGTACATTTTAGCCCTTATTTCTATTTTTGGTTTCTCATACCAGAGAAACAATTTGGTATTTAAACGTGTGTTCTATTTACTTCACTTAAGAGTGTGGTCTCAAGGTGCATCCATTTAGCTAGAAATATAGAAACTGAGTTTTAAAGTCAGTTTGTGTGGAGAAAATTGTACAACAAAATCTTTCTCAGAAATCTGTTGTCCAGAAGAGTGCTACATGAAGCATGGTTTAACAATGCTTATGCACAAAAGCCCGAGTATCACTGAGCTAAAGAGCGATTAGGAAATCTGTCTTTTGTAGATGTCTGAGTGTTCAAACTATTCTGCCTTAAATATATTTATTTACCAGAAAAGGTGATGGGTATGGAAGTATAAATTGTTTCTTAACTTCCCCTGTATCTATAGCGCATTTTAGTAGTGTATTTGTCAATACAACTAAGTAGGCCAGTGGGAATGAGATGATGTACTTTATATCCAGCACAGAGCTAAATCCATATATCCATCTCTTAAAAGGCCTCTAGCCATCTAAACTCAATATAGTAAGACAACTCACCCCCTAGCTTTTCCAATTTGCCCCTCGTTTATCTTAGGGATGCCATCCAGTAATACAAAACTAGCTTTCCTAGCTCCTCCTCCAACCAATACAAGGTGTCATTTCTACTCCCCTGATCTTTTTCTTCTCCATCAGTGTGTTTGGTTCCTAATAGTTTGTTATAATGGTACCTAACACAGATCTCTGCTTTTCATCAGTCCACTTCCAGTCCATCTCCTGCACACTGTCAGTGACTTCCTGAAATGCAAATTTTATATTAGAGTACTCCCTAAAATTATATGCTTTGGGGGCTGGGGATATGGCTCAGTGGTGCTCTGCCTGCCTGGCAAGCTGCAAGGACTTGAATTTGATTGCCTGTACAAAAAACAAACAAAAAAAGTGTCTGCTGGGTGTGGTGGCGCATGCCTGTAATCCCAGCACTTGGAGGCTGAGGCAGAAAGATCAGGCTGGATGAGGAGGAGGATTGCTGTGAGTTTGAGGCCAGCCTGAACTACAAAGTGAGACCCTGCCTAAAAAAAAAAAAAAAAATTTACATGTTTCAGTGGCTCCCTGAAGCTCTCAGAATAAAGTTAAGTTACTAAACCTTACAACTATCCTCTGTTCTTTCTCCCGTATTTAGTCCAGTGAAACAGCCTAACTGTACTGGAGTGCAATCACTTCCTACTTAACCATTTTATTCATGTTCATCTTCCAGTAAACCTTTTTGACCACTTTGTTCTACAGTAACTGTTGTATGGTGACATTTAAAAAAAATTGACTTTATTGGTACATTCTAGGTAGACATTCTAGTTACATTTATTAGTTACATTCTAGGTAGTACATTCTAGTTACATTCATTACTGGGATCTTGTACCTTTACATGCCAGGTCTTGGTTCTCATTTTTTCCCTTTGTCCCCCCCCTCCCTTCACCCCCTCCTCCCCCCCCCCCCTTCAAACACTTTAATTCCATTTTTACATTTTCTTGTATTTTTTTCCTTTTCCCTTATTCCCCTTTCCCTACTCTTCTCACTGTCCCTATACCTTTAGTCCTTTTCTTCCTATTTCACGTTGCTAATTGCCCCGTTAGGATCTTGAGTACTATTTTAGTTTTTCACACCAGAGAAACTATTCGGTATTTGCATATGTGTGACTTATTTATTTCACTTAGGAGTATATCCTCAAAATGAACCCATTTACCTATGAATGAATCTACTTTCTCATTCTTTGTGGCTGAGTAGTATTCCATTTTATAGAAAAACCACATCTTCTTTATCGTTTCCAATTGATGGGCTTATGGGCTGTTTCCAAGTTTTAGCTATGACAAACTGTGCTGCTATGAACATGAGTGCGCATATATCACTGTGATATGATTCTTTCAATTCTTTTGGAAAAGATACCCAACAGAGGGATGGCTGGAACCTCTAATCCTAGTTCTTTGAGGTATCTCCATATTGACTTCCTGGTGACATTTCTTATGTTTTTATGTTCTGTTTCCAGTATCTAGCAAAGACTCTGGCAACACTAATAATTCTCAGCTCATAAACTAAATATATTCTGAATTTATAGATTAGTTTTTTTTTGGTACCGAGGATTGAACTCAGGTCCTTGCGCTTGCAAGGCAGGCCATCGAACTGCTGAGCTAAATCCCCAGCCAATTAGGTTGTTTTTGTTGGTTGGTTTGTTTGAGACAGGATCTCACCAGGTAGTTCAGGCTGGTCCTGAACTCATGACAATCCTCCTGCTTCAGTCTCCTCAGTGCTGGAATTACAGGCATGCACTACCACATCTGGTTTAGATTAGGTTTTGTATCTGTTAAAATGTTTACATTTGTAATTAAACCAGCCCTTTTCTTTTAGGCAGTTAATAGTATCGTGTCCATTGTTTTTGGTACTCGAAGAATTGCATGGGCTCACCTTGATCGCAAATTGGCAGTGCTGGACTGGCAGCATGATGACTGTTGGAAATTAAGGGACAAAATATACCCATCATCAGTTTACTTAGAAGAGGTAAGAGTTGCACTTCCAAATTTCTGTTACTTGTGTAGCTTGTTGTGTAAGTTTAACCAAGGCCTGGAAGAAGTGTAATGAAATTAGCAAGGATGGATTTTCTTTTGGTAATTGCTACCCACTTGTATTGTTTTTGTCATCTTTTTCTTCTTTTTGGTTTTTTTGAGACAGGGTCTCACTATGTAGTTGAGACTGCCCTGAAACTATTTAGCCCAGGCTGGTATCAAACTCACAGCGATCCTCCTGCCTCAGCCTTCCGAGTGCTGGGATTACAGGTGCACCACCATTCCTAGCTTGTCATCTTTTTCTATTAGTTCAAGAAAGCAGATGTTGAGAAAATCTGTGGTATATTATAGTTTTTTCGGGGCAGGTACAGGGACTGAACCAAGGACCTTGCACTTGTGAGGCAGGTGCAGTGCCACTGAGCTAAATCCCCAGTCCCATAAAGCTTATTTTTGTTTATTTTTTTGGTACTGGGGATCGAACTTGGAACCTTGTGCTTGCAAAGCGGGCGGCGGAACCACTGAGCTAAATCCTGGCCCCCATAAAGCTTACTTTTAAAACATTATCACTTGTCTCATTTAGGTCTTCAGGATCTTGTGAAATGGGCAGATAACAAATCATCATCCTGATTTTACATATAAAAACTGTTGTTCAGCCCCACATCTATAAGTAGTTATTTACAGAAATGACTGATTTGATTTTTGGCCAGATTTTGTTGTTGTTGAGATGGGGACCTCACTAAATTGCCCAGGCTGCCTTGAAGTCATAATCCCCCATCTCAGGCTCTTCAATAGCTGGGACCGTAGGCAGGTACCACCATGCCTGGCTCTTGTTTAACTGTTCTAGCCCTATGCTCTACCCTAGAATTTTTTTTTTTTTTTGGTACTGGGGATTGAACTCGGCCCTTGCACTTATGAGGCAGGCGGCAGAACCACTGAGCTAAATCCCTGGCATACCCTAGAATTTTAAAATTTATCATCATTTTGGCAGTACTGTGCACTGAACCCAGGGTATTTAGTATATATGTGAAGCGAGCACCCTTGCATCTTTATTTGTTTTGTTTTGTTTTTTTGGTACCGGGGATTGAACTCAGGACCTTAGGCTTGCGAGGCAGGCGGCGGCACCACTGAACTAAATCCCCAGCCCCCGCTGCACCTTTATATTGAGCTACATCCTCAGATTTTTTTTTTTCTTTTTGATACAGGGTGTTACTGAGTCATTAAATTCCTCAAACTTGCCATCCTCCTGCCTCAGCCTCCCAGAGTGCTGAGATTATAGACATGGGCCACTACACCCAGCTACCCTAGAAAATTTTAAATGGTTAATAAAACATATTAAATTGCCTGATCTTAAAGCTAATTATCGATTTTTGAGAATTACAAAGTCTTGGAGCCAGGCATGGTGGCACTAGGCTAGGCTACATAGTGAATTCAATGCCAATGAGACCCTGTCTCAAAAAAAAAAAGCTGGGAATTGTGGCTCAGGCCTGTAGTCCCAGCACTTGAGAGGCTGAGGCAGGAGGACTGCCACAAATTCAAGGCCAGCCAGAACTACATAGTGATACCCTGTCTCAAAAATTCAAGAAAAAACATTATGACTCCCATTTAACAGATGAAGAAACTGGTATGGTACTTAGGAGGACATTTAGCTCAGCTTGTTTCTGATAACCATGCCCAGAACTTAGCTTCCCATAAAGTGCTTGTTCAGTTATTTCAAAATTGTCAACAGCAATAAGATACCTAATTAAAATATTTTAAAATTAGAAAGAGGACAGAAAGACCCAAACATAAAACTACATTATTTTTGCTTAATGTGCTTTTGCTTTTGTTTTTAAAGATTTCGTCAGTCATTTCAAAGATGCCAGAAGCAGATTTCTACGTTCTGGAAAAGATAACACTTTCATTTCAGAACACAACTCTGTTCCCCATTCTGTTACATTTTCATATTACAGAAGCCATGCTGTATGCTTTACTAGATAAAACTTTTGCCCAGGAGGGCCAGCATCAGGTACTGAGCATGAGTCGCAGTGCAGTTGGGAAGCACTTTGGATTGATGCTCGGTGACTCCCGGACTAGTGGAAAAGAACTAGTCAAGCAGTTCATCTCCGAGTCTGTAATGAAGAAGGAGCCGAGGGTGTTCTTCCCACTGGATAAAGTAGTCCACTACAGAGAGAGATTTTTATCTGACTCGCACAGAGTAGAAGAGTTGTATGATTCATTATTACAAGCTATTGCTTTCTATGAAGTAGCAGTTTTTGAGAGAGACTTAGAATTCTGAGTTAATTTATATCCTCTAATATTATATTTGTAAACTCTAAAATTGTAAAACCAGCTGTTCTGAACATCCATGTTAAAGGAGAAGAAAACATTTTGAGTATATTTTACGTTTTTAAAGTTTGACTTGGTTGTGAAATGGTATACACAGTAAGACAAGACCAAATCAATAAATATTTTAAGATTTTGAGCCTCTTGGTTTTAAGTGTTAAACAGTAAGGACCCCCCCCCCAAAAAAAAAACTCTTTGAAAGCAAATATCTATACTTAAAATCTGCATTATTCTCATATTGTTAGACTTGAGAATAAAATTTTTTTCTGGATGGTGTTTATGAGAATAAAGCAAAAGACAAGCACAATTTGTAGATGCCTCTTATTTTCTATGTAGTCTATGGCTTGACAGACTGTCTACAGGAAGCAATTTTCTTCAACTCAGACACATTCCCCCAGGACACACTATCTAATACTCATTTTCTCACTTTGGTGGACTTTTTTTGGTTTTGTTTTTTTTTTTTTTGAGACAGGGTCTCACTACATAGTCGACACTGACCTGGAACTCACTATGTAGCCCAGGCTGGTCTCAAACTCACAGTGATCCTCCTGCCTCAGCCTCCCTAGTGCTAGGATTACAGGTGTGCGCCACCACGCCCGGCAGTTGTTCTTATGTTAGCAAACCGCTTTATCGGCTGTACTTCATGCCAGAAATATTGTCCTCCCACATATTTCCAAAAGTAGCTATAAAAGAAAATGTGTCAGTTTTAGACATCATATAAGACACAAAGTATTGAAAAATCAAATTTACATTTTCGCTATTTTTATTAATTCATTTATTTGTGGTACCAAAGATCAAACTTAGGACCTTGCGTTTGCCAGGCAGGCATCCCTGACCCCTTACTATTTTTTTAAACAGGGTCTTGTTATATAGTTCAGGCTGGCCTCAAACTCACAGCAATCCTCCTACCTCACCTCAGCCTCTGTAGTGCTGGGATTACAGGTATGAGCCACCAGGCCTGGCTAAAATTTGGATAGTTTTATCACAAAAATGTAGCTGAATTTTATAGGAAATCTTTAAGGATGATGGGCAGTGGTAGAGTACTTGCCTAGCATATATAAGGCCCTGGGTTCAGTGCCCAATACCACAAAACAACACTCCTCCAAATTATACTAAAGACCAATCAGATGTATCCTATTATGAAAGGAAACACCTTCGTTAGTTTTTGATTTTTTAAAAAACTTTTCTCAAGCCGGGTGTGGTGACACACGCCTGTAATCCCAGCACTTGGGAGGCTGAGGCAGGAGGATCGCTGTGAGGTCGAGACCAACCTAGGCTACACAGTGAGTTCTAGGTCAGTCTGAAATACATAGTGAGACCTTGTCTCAAAAAACCAAAAAAAAAAAAAACTTTTTTTCAGGGATTTAGCTCAGTGGTTCTGCTGCCTGCCTCACAAGCACAAGGTTCAAAGTTCGATCTCTGGTACCAAAAAAAACACACACCTTTTTTCAGTACTGGGGAGCACTGAACTACATCTTCAGTCCTTTTTTTTTTATTTTCCATTTTTATTTTGAGATGAAGTCCCTGAGTTGCCCAGGCTGGCTTTGAACTTGTGATCTCTATGCTTTTAGCTAGGATTATAGATATACATCACCACACTAGCTGTTTTTTTTTTTTTATTTTAATGGAATCCCCACCTCCCCAGCTTAGTTCTTGATTTGTAATCATTTGAATACAGTCCTATGGTGTTATCTTACTTTTGTTGAGAACTATCAGTTTAATAATAATAAAACACCTAATTGCGCCAGGGATTTCGCTCAGTGGTGCCACCGCCAGCCTTGGAAGTGAAAGGACCTGAGTTTGATCCCTAGTACTCCCCCCAAAAAAACCCTAATTAACAGATGAGTGGTCTACAGAATAAAGTCAGTAGAAAATAGCCAAGTATATTAAATAAAAGCTGCAGATCTGATTTTAATTCCTGGTACCACACATACAAGAGAAGACTTTTTTTTTGGTACTGGGTATCGAACTTGGGCCCTTGTGCTTGTGAGGCAGGTGGCAGAACCACTGAGCCAAATCCCTGGCCCTAGAAGACATTGTTCTCTCTGTACAGAACAAACTCTGTAAGATACAGCCTATATCCAATTCTGCACAATACACACATTTACCATCATAATTACCTCTTGAACTCCTATTTAAATACTGCATAAATTACGCTTTAGCTTTAACCTTTAAATAGATCAGTATACTTGTCAACACAAGAAAAGGTAGGATGAACAAAGAGGTAAAAACATGACACACATTTGAAAAAAGGTTTGCATCTATATTTCTAAAAACTACAAAATTAGGATCCTTTTTACTTAAAATACAATTCAGCAGATAATGTATCTGAAATATAAAGCTATTATATAATACAGACATTTGAAATAGTGATTTTAAACATGATTATCTGATCCAAAATGACATTAAATGAAATGTGGTATTTTAAGATCTTGTTACCAGAATAAAAATATATACTTTTCCCCAAAAAACATGACCTTTCTGGGTGTGGCAGTATACATCTATTATTCTCATTATTTGAGAAGGTGAGGCAGCAGGATTTTGTGGGCTCATTAGTTTGGGGCCAGCCTGGGTAAAACAGCAAGACTTGTCTGCAAAACAAAGGGCTTGAGATGTAACTCAGTGGTGGAATGCTTCTTTAGCATGTTCAAAAGTCTGGGTTCAATCCTCAGTACCCCCAGGAAATAAAAACAACTATGTGTGGAAATGGTTAGTATGTAGAAATCATATGGCAGAATCTTCCTTTGTAACAGTTTTAATGAACAGAGGCTTGTCCAAAATGGATATATTAATGCCAGTAATATCATCGTGAAATAAAACATCATTATAAAAATGTAAGAAAAATTTACAAGGCAAGTGACTTGTGTTGGCAAAATGTAGAAGATACCACTTATGTAGGGGTGCTAAAATGACTTATGAAAACTATTATTCAGACTGTTGATTCAATAGTAAATATGTTGGGAAGTGCACTAGAAATAAATTTATCAGGAACTGCTTCTTTTTTGAAAAATGAACCATAATTTTCTTCCTAGGAAGTTTTCTTTTTTCTTTGTTTTTTGGGGCGGATACTGGGGACTGAAAGCAGGACCTCGCACTTGCAAGGCAGCACCACTGAGCCCTTGTTTTGTTTTTTTGAGACAGGATCTCACCCGTTAGTACAAGCTGGCCTTGAACTCACTATTTTAGCCCAGGTTGGCCTCAAACTTGCAGCAATCCTCCTGCCTTAGTCTCCCAAATGTTGGGACTGCAGGTGTGCGCCACCACACCCAGCTCCTAGGAAGTTTTCTTAAGCACTGCATGTGTATGTAATTCAGAGAACTGATATTTAGAGAGGGGTGGGTTAAGGGTAATAGGAAAGGGGAAAATATAGCATTAGATTAGCATTGTATTTTTAGAAATACCTTAGTGAACTCTACCTTCTAGAAACAACAGCTCATTGATTTGCCGAAAATATATCAACAAAGCAAAATTAGATAATATAAAAAATTCAGGAATACTATGATCATAAATACAATTGTAATTCAATTTTTCATTTTAAATATCTGCACAGCAATAAAAAATACAAATAGTCTGTTTTAAATGTACATGAAGAAAAATGAACACTTCCATGAAAATCAATATTATAGAACAATGTATCTTAAGCACCACATAATTTGTAAACAGCATTATTAATGCACAATATTAAGGGAAGTCAGCTGCCAAACTATTCACAGTCTCTTTTGGAATGTCAAGATGAATTCCTTCAAAATAGTGCAGGAACCTGTCACAATTACAAAGAGAAATATAATTTAACATTTCCACCTTATGAGAATACTTATTAACTTTGAAAAAACTATATAAAATGTGTTTTGTTTTTTGCAGACTTTACCTTCTTTTACATTTTTCTTGTTCTTTTAGCTTCTCAGTCCTGCAAATGTTTCGAAGAAATGGCAGGTACTCAGTTATACTGGCTTGTCTGTTACCCACATTTAGTAGAGATCGACTAGAAAATACACTTTTAATGACTGCTATCCTCTTCCAAGCATTGCTGTAAATTAAAAGGGATGTGTTAATTTTTATTTTAAATGCCCCTATAAAAATACAGTAATCTCAAACAAACAGCTTCCCTGTCTCTGGTCTACACTGGACAACACTTCCAGATCAATTTCCAATTAACAGGGCCAGGGATGTAGCTCAGTGGCACCACGCCTACCTTGCAAGTGTAGGATCCTGAGTTTGATCCCTGGTACCGCAAAACAAAACAAAATATAATTTCCAATTAACACATTAAACACTTCCAACTGAAAAATCTCATTGGCTACTTGCTATCTGTCAAGGTAAGTCCAAACCTCTTATTCAAGGGTTTCCTAAAGGTAGCCCACCCTAATCTTTCTAGCAGTCAGGATGGTTTCCTTATCTCCCTTAGAAGCTACATTATTAATTTTTTTTGGTACTGGGGATCAAACTCGGGTCCTTGTGCTTGCAAGGCAGGCTCTGGAACCACTGAGCTAAATCCATGACCCTGCTACATTATTAATTTTAAGTGCTTATCATGGTCAATAGCCCAGGAGTTTAAAACTAGTGAGAAGAAAGAAGCTAATGATTTCCCTTTTGCCATTTATTACTGAAAAATGAAAAGTTAAAAAAAGAGCAAGACTTACTCCAAATTAGCTGCTGATTGGCTAAAGCATACATTATTATGCTTTTGTGAAACATAAAATGTAAGCTCGTTGGTTGGATCTCTTCCTAATTTCTTGCAAGAATTCAAGGAGGATTCCAATGCTTTTGAAATAGTAGAAGAACACTTAGTAAAGCTGAGCGCTTGTACAGCTGCCTTCAGTTCCGCAGAGCCTTGAGAAGTCCATCCATCACCACTCTCCAGACTAAACTCATCACACAGGCCACTTTTAACCTTTCCACTTGTCCAACAGAAGTCATTTTTACCAAGTTCCTTCTGATCCCTTACATCAGTTAAGAAGGCATCTAAGAAGGACATGTTATCCATGAACTCAGTGAGAGAATTTAAACAATGAGAAACAAGGACAGAACATTGTTTTTCTGCTGGTGTTCTAGGAGGACAAGGAACAGATTCAATATCAGACTCTGAACATTGGTTTAGATTCTTTGTCTCTGCATTGTTTCGTTTGTCTCTGGCTTTGTTTTCTTCTAAATTTGAGGAAGACACCAGGGATAGGTTAATAAATTCATCAGAAAAGTCCAAGCTGGTGTCAAATAAGTCACTATCATCTAGTATCACCATCTTTCTCTTATGTTTCTTTTTCTGTGACTTTTTCATCGGCTGCTCTCCTTCGGAACATTTCCTGACAGAACATCTCATACTTCTTGTTACTGCGCTGGCGTCCACAGTTACAGATGAGCCACGAAGGCTTTTTGTTTCTGGAATGGTATCAACCGGTAATGGTAGGATGAACTCAAGATTACTATATAAAAAATCTATATTCTGCATGTGGAATTCTGTAAGAAGCTGGATGAGTTTATGCCATTCGGCTTTTGTTGTGATTTTATGCTGAAAAGCAAATTTTAAGTAAAACGTTATCACAGTACATGGTTTGAGCATTTTTCTATCCATATGAATATAGTGTTGTCCCTATTCTGAGTCACTACCCATATAATTTTATCCTACACATAAAATATTAAAATAGTACTGAGTCTAAAAAAATTGGGGGTTCTGGGCATGGTGGAGCATGCCTGTAATCCCAGCACTCAGGAGGCTGAAGCAGGAGGATTGCTGTGAGTTTGATACCAGCCTGGGCTATACAGTGAGTTCCAGGTCAGTCTCAACTATATAGTGAGACTCTGCCTCAAAAAAACCCAAAAAACAAAACAAAAGCTAAATTGGGGGCCAGGAATGTAGCTCAGCGGCACAGGGCCTATCTGGCAAGCACAAGGCCCTGAGTTTGATTCCCAGTACCAAAACACCACAACCAAAACAAACAAACAACAACTAAATTTGTACTGCTTATTTGGAGAACTACAGGCTCTAATACTTATATATCTGGTGCATAGTGCAAGTCAGTAATTAGGTCATTTGTTTCAAAAATCTGAAATTGTGTTTTGATCAGAAAAGGGTCTACTCTAAATCCTATTATACATATTTAGAACAATGTCTTTGCACCATTTGTCAAAGTGGTAGAAAGTGTTAAAATTGGAAACCTAAGGTCTATAACAATTATAAGCAAATTTAAGTTAAACTTAAGATTCAAAGCATAAATGTTAGGAAAATAAAAAGGAATATAAATTCAACATTCCAGATAATGAATTTACCTTTAAAAATGAAAATAAGTCTTCAGATGGGGAAAAAATGTTCTTGAGTCCAAAGAAGGTCTCAGCACAGCCAGTGTCACATTTGGGAAGGACTTTCCGATTCTTTTTAGTATTTTTAGTGTTATTTTTAGAATCTTGGCAATCTTCAGTGCAAACTAGTACATTTCGGATACTTGCTCCTATAAAATTAATAAAAGAAAAATTATTGTTATATATATATATTTTAAACAAATTGTATCAAACAGCTATTAAAAAGATGCAGTTAGTGCCGGGGATGTAGCTCAATTGTTCCGCCACCTGCTTTGCAAGTGTATAAGGTCTCAAGTTCAATCCCCGGTACAAAAAAATAGAAAGGTGCAATTATCCTTTGTAACTTTTTGATGTATACCCCAATTCTGTTCTTCTCTATTATATGCTGAATTCACTAAGAGTACAATATAGACCTTTTTTGTTAACAATACCTAAGCTAGGTGCCATAATGGGTAGGGTGGTTCACAAAACAAGGGCAAGAAAAAAAGGCAAGGACTGAACAGCAAGTCATAGAAGAAAAAAAAAACTAGCTCATAAAAATAAAAAGATGCAGCTGAGCATAGTGGCACACACTTGTAACTCCAGCACTTGGGAGGCTGAGGCAGGAGGATCACTGCAAGTTTGAGGCCAGTCTGGGCTACACAGTGAGTTCAAGAGCAGCCTGAACTACATAGTGAGACACTGTTCCTCCCTCAAAAAAGATCTGCATTTTTCTCTAGTCATCACAGAAATATAAAGTTAAAATTAAGCTGGGCATGTTGGCGCACACCTGTAATCCCAGCACTCTGGAAAGCTGAGGTAAGATCATCACAAGTACAGCCCAGACTGGACAATTTGTGACTTAGCAAAACCCTGTTTCAAAATAAAAAATAAAAAAGAAGGAGCACAGCTCAATGCAAAGACCATGGGTTCAAATTCATAGTACTGAAAACAAAAAAGAGGATGTGGTCCATATTTCAATTTTTTTTTTTTTTAAAGTCCCGGATTGAACTCTGGTCCTTGCACTTGCAAGGAAGGTGGCAGAACCACTGAGCTAAATCCCTGGCCCATATTTCACTTTTTTTTGTTTGTTTGTTTTTTGCGACAGGATCTCACTGTATAGTTGAGACTGACCTGGAACTCACTATGTAGCCCAGGCTGGTCTTGAACTCAGAGCTATTCTCCTGCCTCAGCCTCCTGAGTGCTGGGATTACAGGCGTGTACCACCACTTCTGGCTCATATTTCACATTTTAAATTGATAAATTTAAAGTGACTGATAATATAGTTCTGTTAATGGTACACATAGAAGACCCATCGTATAGTATTTGTAGGAACATAAGGTGGTACTATTATCTTGAGGGCAATTTGGCAATATCTGTCAAAATGTAAAGTGTAGAAGTGTATCATTCACCTCAACAATCACACAGATTTTTTTTCTGCACTAGAATTACTTACAGATATGTTCAAGGATATATGAATATTCACTGCACTTTTTTTTTTCTTTTTGGTTTTTATGAGAGGTCTTGCTATGTAGTCCAGGCTAGCCTTGGACTCTTGGCAATCTTCCTGCCTCAGCCTCCCAAGTGCTGGAATTACAGTTGTGCACTAGCACACCCAACCACTTGCACATTACTATAATGATAAATTGAAGATAATTTAAATCCCCATGAAAAGGTAATGATTGGTGAAAATATGGTACTTCTATGGAATAGTACAGAGTGATGACAAAGAATAAGGTAAAACTATATGTGCTGACAATAAATTGCTGAGTTAAAAATTGACCAGGGAGGCCCAGGGATTTAGCTCAATGGTTCTGCCACCCGCCTTGCAAGCACAAGGTCCCGAGTTCAATCCCTGGTACCAAAAAAAAAAAAAAAAGAGTAGGGAGCTCAGGATGTAGTTCAGTGGCAGAGCACTTGCCTTGTGTGCACAAAGCCCAGGGTTTGATCCCCAGCACTATACACCCAAAAAAAGATATAAAACTTTTACCAACTAAACAGGTAGCTATAGTTTATACACCCATCTAAAAGTCTCACAGGAGTTATCTTAACAAATGGAATATATGATTATTACCTGAATGTTCTAAGAGTGTATATCTATGTTTCTTTAAAAAGGCAGGAATGAAATGTACATTTGATCTTTGAAAAGACAAACTGCCACACTTAAGTTTGTTTTCTAAAGTTCTTGGGAACTGAGGATGCAGCCCAGTCCTAGCCCTGAGTTGAATCCCCAGAATTAAAATCAATTAATCAATCAATATGTGAGTCAAAATAAACCTCTCATCCTAAATAAATAAAATTGTTACAAAAATTTATAGCCAGTGGTGTGGCAACAGTTTAACTTCAGTCATTTAGTTTTTTTACACCAGAATATTTCCCATGTCTAATTTATCATATTTACCTCTAAATATCGACAGCTAACAGTTTATACTGAATTAATGGTGAATTTTTTTTTTCGCGTTGAGTTTATTGGTACATTTTAGGTATATAGTACAGTTACATTCATCATTGGGATCTTGTACCTTTACATGACAGGTCTTGGTCACACTGAATTAAATATATGAGTCTGCCTACAACAGTAATATGATGAAATTTTGTACAAGCTAAAAGGAAAAGGATGTGAAGGTAATCTGGCTGTGACATCTGTCACCCCACTGATCGCCAGCATTGCTTGTCTGATCTGGCTGGCTAGGCAGGTGTCCCCTTTCTTCCTCACCATGCCACGTGTGTCCCTCACAAAGCTGCACCCCCGGTCTCGGAGGAAAACCACCCTCAGAGAGGAAGACAGTTTCCTCAGTCAAGGGTATACGATTAGCTGTGCTCTCCTGCTAGAACCTCCAAAGAAGCTCTCACATTAAAGGGAAAAATGAGGAAGGGTTAATTACAGAACCTCACCTTGACTTTATTTATAATACTGATGCACTGGCAGCTGGACTAAGAGGGACATCACCTTGATTTTATTTAAGTATGTATGCATTTCCCAGAACTCCGACTATGGAGCAAGCATGCAAAGTATAAACTAGCAGCTTCTTTCAAAGAAGGAACGTGGCTTACCCGTGAACACACAGGACCCGGCATGAAGAAAGTACTCAACAGTGTGCCACGATTAGGTCACAATGATAATCAAAGAGTAGTGAGGGCCAGGGGATTTAGCTCAGTGGCGCCACACCTGCCTTGCAAGTGGAAGGTTCTGAGTTCAATCCCCAGTATCGAAAACAAAAAAAAATTCTTAGAAAAAACAGAATGACAAGCTAAGTTTACAGCATAGTTCACATAAAAAGGGATACATCTGTATAGAAACTAACACTGAGATCACCAATAGTTTATAATAAGTGAAAAAAGGAAGCTGATAATAATATAGTTGTATTTTGTTTTTTTTGAGACATGGGAACATTTAAGGAGATTGGTTCAATACAGAGGCTGCTGATGGTCCTGCCGTCCATGCCCACCAGGCCAATCCATTATCCCTTCTTCTTGCTTGTCCTGGCCCTCGGGCAGCTGGTTCATTCCTAAGAATCAATCCCACACAGAGCCTCTCTGTCATACCCTCTCCAGTGTGCAGCCACCGCTCAGGAATAGCTTGTCACTCCCACCATCCAAACAAATGATGGCCACCAGGTCTGGCCCTGATGGGCTTGGGTACATCAGGTGATGTCAGAGCTGGGACCCGTGAGTCCAGACCACAGGCTAGTAGTTTTGTGTTAGCAGCTCCTCCTCCACCTCCTCCACAGGGCTTGGATTCCCAGGGGCACGGCACCAGTATGTGGGTGAACATGAGAACCCAGCAGAGGGCCAGGGACAGGGGTAGGGAGGTTCAATAGCTTCGCTGTCTTGGGGCTGAGCCTGGCTCAAGGAAGCAGAGAATTTGAGCATGTTCCAGCCAAAGACACAGTCATAGGAGAAGTTCTGCTAGTGTAAGAAGCTTCAGAAGGGCTAGCACGGCTAGGAGTAGTCAGGCTTATCATGGAACCAAAGGGAGTTGAGCTATGTTGAGAAGGAAGAGTAGCCTTTGCAGAAGACCTTGATGGGTGTGGGCATCTTCTCACTGATCCGCTCATAATTCTGGCACTTGGTAGCTGCTCTGAGGCTCTGCTAGGGTGGAGAGCCCAGGTTGAAGTACATGAGCACATAGCCCAGGCTCTCCAGGTCATCCAGTAGGCTTTGCTTGATGCCTACCCAGTGGGTGTTGATGGAGGCATCGTGGGCAGTGCTGGTCAGGTTCTTGTTTTCCGGGAGGGGATGTGCTGGTGGGTGTGAGCATCCTGGTACTTCCTGGCCAGGCCAAAGCTGATGATATATGCCAGGTTGCCTTTCTTTAACAGGTCCATGAGGACATTGTTGGGCTTGACTTCCTGGTGGATGAAGTTCTTGGAGTAGATGTACTCAATGCAGCTGATCTTCTGGTTGGCCAGGAGCAGCACCATCTTGAGGATGAACTTGTGGGAGCAGAATCTGGGCCTCCAGGCTGGGCCCGAGCAGCTCCATGACCATCACGCTGTAGTTGCCCTCAGCCCCACACCACCTCATGGATGGGATTCCCACTCCCCACTTGCATCATCTTGCAGAACTTGCTCTCCATCTGCAGAGTGGGTACTTTGTCTTCACACACTCCAGCTTGATGGCCACTTCTTCACCAGAGGAGATGTGGGCACCCAGGGAGATGTCCCCAAAGGACCCACTCCCAATCTTGTGATCAGGCAGTACTTACTCCCACACACAGCTCCATGGTTCACTCTACCCGCCGGGAAGGCACTGAAGCCCAGCCACTGCTGGAAGGCTGCCATGGATGCTGGCCAATGGGACAGATGTCAGAGTATTCAGGGCACTGGGTGTGCCAGCATCTCCTGGCCCAGCTGCCACACCACCTCCCTCCACCTGGCCACCTCCTGCCCCTGTATTTCTGTTATAAGAAAATATATGTCAACCAGGCGTCGGGCACAAGCCTGTAATCCCAGAACTTGGAAGGCTGAGGCAGGAGGATCACCATGAGTTTGAGACCAGCCTGGGCTACATAGTGAGTTCCATGTCAGTCTCAACTACATAGTGAGACCCTGTCTCAAAAAACAAACAGGGCTGGGGATTTGGCTCAGCGGTTCCGGCACCTCCTTGCAAGCACAAGGACCCGAGTTTGATCCCCACTACCAAAAAACAAACAAACAAAAAATTTCTAAACTGTCACTTATGCATTTGTAGACATAGAGTTTCTTTTTCTTTTTTTTGAGACAGGGTCTCACTATGTAGTTGAGACTGACCTGGAACTCACTACGTAGCCCAGGCTGGTCTTGAACTCAACAGTAATCCTCCTGCCTCAGTCTCTGGAGAGTTGGGATTACAGGCTTGCGCTACCATGCCCCTGCTCAGTTTAGAAATGTTAACAGTTAAGGGGCTGGGATTTAGCTTAGTGGTTTCCCTGCCTGCCTTGCAAGCCCAAGATTCTGAGTTCGATCCCCAGTGCAAAAAAAAAAGAAAGAAAGAAATGTTAACAGTTAAATAATTGGGGTGGAATTTTTTTCACTGTTAACCAGGGATCTAACCGAGGGCCAAGTAAATGCTAGGCAAGCACTCAACCCCTGAACTATATCTCCAGACACTTTTCTAATCTAAATAGAATAACTATACAATAAAAAGTAATTTACAGATTTATCTAGTTCAACCCTCTCATTTTTGAGGTAAAGAAACAGGGATGAAGAACTACCCTGAATTTTGGAGGTTACACAACAAAGAGCAGCACAGGCAGGGAAAGGTCTGTTTCCAAAGTCAGCTTCATTCTGTTTATACTAAAGATTTACAAAAATTTTTGTGAGCAAAATGGACATGTTATGGGTTCTGTCTAGATGCCTCCTAAAATATACAAGGGACAGAAAGAGGGCTGCTGTTGTTACTGCATGTCATTTGCTGGCTCTTTGCTACTTCACTGCTTTGCTCCCTTCTGCCTGCCATGGACTGTTTCTTCTCTGCCATGCCACTCTGCCTTGAAGCCAGCCAACTATGAACTATGAGCTACAATAAACCTTTCCTCCTTTAACTTTGGGTGTTGGGTGTTTTGTCTCAGCAATGAGAAAAGTAACTAGGAAAACTCTGAGGATTAGCATGATAACTGGATGCTAAAAATTAGTCTTTCAGATAGTTTTATATAGTTCAGCATATATTTAAAAATAAAGTCCTATAATAGAAATTTCTTTTATAATAGATCAACTTACCAGGATGAGATAATGGCCTTTCTTCTAAAAATCCACCTCCACTTCTAATCCAAAATTGTAAGAAAAGGATACTTCTTCTGATATCACATGCATTTGCACTTAACAAGGTTACAAAGTCTCTTACATCAGTTCTGAAATTTTCAGTTAAGCAGATTGTTTGTAGGTAGCTGGCAACATTTAGCTTAAAAGAGAGAGAGAGAGAGAGAGAGGAAGAGAGAAACATGATCAGTTGCAGAGTTCAGAAAAATACAGCAAAAAAAATTCTGAACAATATCCAAAAGTGAGACAAATTTTGCTAAAATTCACAATATTTGAAAGTTCTCTGAGAATAAAAGTGCTCTTAAAAATTATTAGGTAGGGTCAGGAATTTGGCTTGGTGGTTCTGCCGCCTGCTACCAAGCGCTAGATCCCAAGTTCAATGCCTCATACCAAAAAAAAAAAAGTTAATCTACTAGCAAATTTAAGACATTTATATATACATTTTAAAACCTTTACCGTGTATAAACTAGGCATAGTGGCACATTCCTATAATCCCAGGACTTGAGAGGCTGAGGCAGGATTGCTACGGGTTCGAAATCAATCTATGAGCTACACAGTGAGTTCAAGGCCAGCTTGAATTACATTGCAAGAACTTACCTCAAAACAAAAAATTATTATATATACTCCAGAAAAGCAAGGACACGTTTATAAATGATTCCCCAACCTGAACACTAGTGGCAGTTTTATAAGCCTGGAAAAAGCCCTTAGGATTAATTATACAGCTTGACAGAATATTTTATAGCTATTAAAAATATGAATGCCACTATAATAATATTGAAAAATACATAACTTTCTAAAAATAGATTTAGAAAATTATGAGTCTAGGCCAGGTGTGGTGGCCCACACTTGTAACCCCAGCACTCAGGAAGCTGAGGCAGGAGGATCACTACAAATTAAAGGCCAGCCTGAACTACAGAGCAAGACCCTGTCTAAAAAAACAAATAAACAAGCATAAACAAAAAAGCCAAAACCAAGACCAAAATGAGGGCTGGGGATTTAGCTAAGTGGCACCATGCCTACCTGGCAAGTGCAAGGTCCTGAGTTCAATCCCTGGTACCAAACAAACAAACAAACAAACAAACAAAATGAATGCACAAAAGCATATATGTATATAAGAAATGACAGGGGAAAATGTAAAACCAGTTGATTTGTTGGCAGTTAACAGACAAATAATAGTTTCATTTAATTTTCTAGTGACATTGCTAAAAGTTTTCTGTATAGCAACAGAAAAGTGGAATCATCTTCCCATTGTTGTTTATGGAAATAAAGAATTTACCTTGAAAAGCCAACACAAATGAAATTATACTTAAATTTCACAGAAATGACAAGGCCAGCAGCATTTTCACTACACTCTACTAAACAGGGACATGGATAAATCTAAGAAACATCAAGCTGAATGAAAAAAGCCAGATACGGGCTGGGGATTTAGCTCAGTGGTTCTGGTGACTGCCTTGCAAGCGCAAGGACCTGAGTTTGATCTCCAGTACCAAAAAAAAAGAAAAAAGCCAGATACAAAAGGGCACATAATGTCTGTTTCCTATATATAAAATTTTAAAACTAAATTAATATAGTTATCATGCAGTAGTTTCAGGGGGTGATAAATTGTACTATATCCTAATTATAGTGATAGCTTCATGAATCTATATATGTATTAAAATTCATAAAAACAATCACTGTCAAAAATTTTTTTTAATTTAAAGGTTAAAAGAATTAGGATAGAAATATAGCTTAGTGGTAGCCCACTTGCATAACCTGCACAAGGCCCTGGGCTCAATTTCCAGTACTTTAAATAAAGGTAAATAAAAAGTACATTATTCAACACTGTATAAAAAAAAAAAAAAAAATTGAAAAAAAAAAAAAAAAAAAAAAAAAGAACAAAGCTGGGAATGGTGGTATACACACCTGTAATCCCAGGACTTGGCAGGCGAAGGCAGGAGAATTGTGGAGAGTATGAACCTGCCTGAGCTAACAATGCTAAGATTCCATTCACTCCAGAAATAATGGCTATTATCAAGAAATCAGTCAATAACACATGGTGGCAGGACTATGGGGAAAAAGGAGTCCTGCTCTCAGTGTAGAGATGTCTCAAAAAACTGAAACTAGTGGTTCCATTTGACCCAGCTATTCTCCTCCTTGGTCTCTTCCTAAAACAATTAAAAGCATCATACCACAGTGATATATGCACACCTATGTTTATAGCACTGGAGTCTGTAATAGCTAAATCTTGGAAACAGCACAAATGGCATCAACCGATGAATGGATAGATGTGGGTTTTTTGTTTTTTGTTTTTTTTTTTATTTCATTTTTTTGAGCCAGGCTCTCACTTTGTAGTTCAGGCTCGCTCTGAACGCACTATGTAACCCAAGCTGGCCTTGAACTGAAGGTAATCCTCCTGCTTCAATCTCTTGAGTGCTTGGGATTATAGGTGTGTACCACCATGACTGGCTGATGCGGGTTTTTTATATGTTGGAGTACTACTCAGCCATAAAGAAGAACAAATTTGAGACATTTCTAGGTAAATAGATGCACCTTGAGACCATACACTTAAGTGAAATAAATCAGACACACGTGTAAATATTACATTGTTTTTCAGGTGTGAGAAACCAAAAGTGTAAATAAGGACCAAAATGTACAATGTACTTGATCTTAGCCAAAGGCCAAGATGATTCAAAATGTATAATAGATACTGTAAAGTAGAAAAAAAAAATTCAAATGGGAAGGGAAACTAGGGAGCGGGGAGAGGGAAAGGAAAGAAGGGAACAAACAAAAAACCAAAAATATGAGGAAAGAAGGAAGAAATGGAAACAAAGCTTTTGTAATTAAGGAGGGAAAGAGGGGCTAAAGAGGGGAGGGAAATGGGAAAAAAGGAACAAGATATATCATGTACAGGTACACATTCCCTATGATGAATGTGATCATTATATATATCTCAAATGTACCAATAAACTTAACTGATTAAAAAACAAAAACAAAAACAAAAACAAACAGGGGAGCCAGGGATTTAGCTCAGTGGTGCAGCCGTCTGCCTCACAAGCACAAGGTCCTGAGTTCAATCTCCAGTATCAAAAAAAAAAAAAAAAAAAAAACCACACAAAAAAACCACAAAAAAACAAAAACCAGGGGCCAAGGATATAGCTCAGTGGCACCACTCCTGTCTGGCAAGTGCAAGGCCCTCAGTTGAGTTCCAGGTACTAGAAAATAAACAAACAAACAAACAAAAAAAGAGTAATAACAACAAAAAGGAATTAACAGTTACTTCTGAAGAGGCTGACTACATGTACCCACAGGAACTTTTGGAGGTGATAGAAATGTTGTACATTTTGATCTGGATGATAATTACACTGTGTTTTACAAATGCTAATCTTCATTAAGTAGAACAGTAAAATAAGGGCCGAGATTTGGCTCAGTGGCACCATACCTGCCTCATAAGCACAAGGTCCTGAGTTCAATCCCCAGTGACCCCCAAAACAAAAAACAAAACAAACAAAAACGAGTAAAATTAGTGCAAGTTTTAACTGTATTTAAATTTTATTTTAATAAAATACAGTACTTGGATAACAACAAATGAACACTGGTATCTAGAATGAATTTAAGTATCTGAAAAGCCTTTTTATTAATGCAAAATAAAAATAATCAGAAGTTTCCCAAAACCCAAAAGCTTTAGTACATCCTTTAGCAAATACATTTTAAAATATCAAAACTACATTCAATAAAAACACATTTTAGAAGCCGGGGATTTAGCTCAGTGGTTCTTCCACCTGTCTCACAAGCACAAGGATCCCAGTTGGATCCCCCGTACCAAAAAAAAAGTTGGTAAAAGCACATTTTACATTAATTGTGATATGTGATTTATTAAAATTCAAAACTTACCAGTGAAGGAGTACTGAAATTGATTTCTTCAAAGCTGCCATCAAACATTAAACTAAATGTTGGATCTACAGAAAAAGAGATATTTTTTTAAAATATTAAAAGCACTAAACTTTCCGTAGTAATACTTTTCTGTGAAAACACTCAGCATTTCATCAGTTATGAAAGTGCCGTAGGGTTGGGCCAGGGATTTAGCTCAGGGTGGCCTGCCTCGCAAGCACAAGGACCCGAGTTCGATCCCCAGTACAAAAAAAAAAAAAAATAAAGAAAGAAAGTGCAGGAGGTTCCCTTTATCTGTGGTTTTGTTTTCTGTAGTTTCTGTTTCCTGCAGTCAAACAATTTTCAAGGACACAAGGTAGAAATTGAACAATCATCCTTTCATCCAGTGTCTCCAAGCTGTGTATCTTTCTGCCCATCAGGCACTTAGCCCTCTTTGTCTTCAATGGACTTTTGTATTATTATAATGCTGTGTTCAAGAAATCCTGATGGCCCCCAAACCTGGGGAATCACGCTAACAATTTCCTTACAGTATGTTGTGTAATTGTTCCACTTGACTATTAGCTATTGTTAATCTCTTATAGTGCCTAATTTCTAAAAAATTTTTTTTTAGTACTGGGGTTCAAACTCAGGACTTTGCACTTGTGAGGCAGGTGGTGGCACCGAGCTATATCCCTGGCCCTAATTGCTAAATTTAACTTTATATAAGAGTGTGTGTGTGTGTGTGTGTGTGTGTGTGTGTAGCACATATGCAAGCATAGAAAAAATAGTATATTTAGGGTTCAGTGCTATTTGAGGTTTCAGGCACCTACCTGAGGTTTAACTAAGGAATTTTTTTATGGTGTTATGGTCATTTTTTTTTTTCTTTGAGATAGTCTCACTATGTATTTCAGGATGCTCCTGAATTCATTATGTAGCTCAGGCTTGCCTCAAACTCATAGCAATCCTTCTGCCTCAGCCTCCCCAGTGCTGCGATTACAGGTGTGTGTCACCACACCCAGTTCCTGTAAAGTGACCTTTTTTGGGGGGTGTACCATGGACCAAACTTTGGACCTTGCCCTTGCGAGGCAGGCAGCAGAACCATTGAGCTAACTCCCCGGCCCTGTTAAGTGACTTTTAAAGAAATTGTTCTAACTAAAATTAAAGGCTTTCCCAAAACATGTGAACCAAAACTAATTAATTATGCTAAAATTATGGTTACCTACCACTTGTAGTAAGGATTACAGGTCGTTTAGTTGTTGCCATAAATGTTTTGATTGCATTCAAAAATCCAGCATCTTCATCAAAAATGACATCAACCTGCAAACCATTTATTACAGTATTAATTCAATAAGTAACAAACTTACTGGATATTAGTTATGTATATTTAACTACAAATAGACTATATGTCAGAAAAAATTTATTAATTTTTGAAAAATGTGAATATAGCCCATACTGAAAATCTGTCTTATACCTGTCTTTTTTTTTTTTTTTTTTGAGACAGGGACTCACTATGTGGTTGAGACTGAACTGGAACTCACTATGTAGCCCAGGTTGGTCTCAATTCACAGTGATCCTCCTGCCTCAGCCTCCTAAGTGCTGGGATCACAGGCATGTGCCACCACACCCGGCTTATACCTGTCTTAAACTGTCAAATATTAAACATTAAAAAAAACTGTAGTCACCTATAACAGATAGGTGTGACTCAAAATAATTTCTGTAACTATTAAACCATAATTAATAACCTGAACTGCATTAATTTTCTAAAATTCTTCTAAAGTTAACATTTTATTTTCTTTAATTTCAAATATATGTGTGTATGTGTGTATGTGTTTCTGGTTTTCTTAGTTATTTTATAATTCTTTATTTGAAAGCACATAGTAAACCAGAAGATACCATGAATGTGTACTCTAAGCCTACCTCCTCAAAAAGAATGAGAGATGTCGCACTTTTCCTGTTGGGTTCCTCAGGTCCGAATTCTTTGACATTTGAATTCAATGCATTTGTAGATTTACTCTGAGTAATTTGCTTGTGTTCCAAAGAATTTTTAATTCCTAGATAAACAGAATGATAAAACTTTAAATCAACTTTTAACAGAACACTGGATATTTTCACAGAATAAGTACAAATTGAAATCCCTATCAAAACCGTACATAAGACTTCAATGGAAATGAGGTTTAATAAAAAGCAATAGGGGGCTGGGGATTTAGCTTAGTGGTTCCGGTGCCTGCCACCGAAGCACAAGGGCCCGAATTTGATCCCTGGTACCAAAGAAAAAAGCAATAGGAACTTGGCTGGGCATGATGGCACATGCCTATAATCCCAGCACTTGGGAGGCTGAAGCAAGATCACAGCAAGTTTGAGACCATCATGGCCTACACAGTGAGTTCAAGGCCACCCTGAATTACAAAGTGAGATTCTGCCTAAAACAGGGGAACTCATGAAAAATGTTCATATTTTTATGTATAAAAGTCATGAAGGGCCAGGGATTTAGCTCAGCGGTTCAGTGGCCTGCCTTGCAAGCGCAAGGACCCAAGTTCAATCCCCGGTACCAAAAAAAAAAAAAAAAAAAAGTCCTGAATATTTTAAAAGATCAATTTTATTTTGTAACTTTAATACTTTACCTTTATCATTTTCAAGAAGTGCTTCTGTTTCTTTATTATTTTGGGGTTTGGAAGATACTTTAAAGTAATTTGCCAAAGTTTTTGGGGGAAGTGCTCTCTTCTGCCCGCTACACTTGGGTGAAGATGGAGGAAGTTTCCGAGGTGATGCAACAACTTTCTTAGGGGAGTTTAATTTTTCTACAAAAAACCAAATTGCATTTAAGAATTTAAGAATAAACATTCTACATTCTAAAAATTATACATGGGGCCAGGGATTTAGCTCAGTGGTTCTGCCACCTGCCTTGCAAGTGCAATGACCCGAGTTCGATCCCTGCTACCAAAAATTAAAATAAATAATAAAAATTATACAGATGGCAAGATAGTAAAAATTAATGGTATAGAAATTTCCTTTCATTCTTACATTAAATTACTCTGTACAAATATTACTGTATAGTGTTTATTTTAACTGCACAGGACATGTCAATCTTTTGAAATGATTCTCTTTTCCAAAGAAACAGGTATTTTGAACAAATAATGTGCACAATCCCCCCACTGATCTCTACACCTATCTGAAGTCAGAAGAGGCTGGAGGAAAAATTCTAACACTATATATTGAGCACATTATAGAACTTTATTGTCCAACTTCAGCTCAGTCCTATAGTAAACTGTCATGACAAACAAAATGATACCTATTTCTAAAGACGCTTTGGAGGACAGATACAAAGTTAAATATAGGGTTAGCTATATTCTCCAGAAGACTGAAGGCATTTACTCCAGAGCACAAGTCCTTCCTTTGATTCTAAGTACCTTGAGGGGTTTTTTTTGGTTTTTTTGAGACAGGGTTTCTCTCTCACTATGTAGTTGAGACTGACCTGGAACTCATTATGTAGCCCAGGCTGGTCTCGAACTCACAGCGATCCTCCTGCCTCAGCCTCCTGAGTGCTGAGATTATAGGCATGTGCCACCACACCCAGCTCTCAGTACCTTGATTTAGTTCTGACATTCCTAATCACCATATGTGCCCCAGCAAGAATTCCTCACTTACCATCTTACACAATTTCCTGACTATGTCTTATTCTTTGTCTCTTCAATCACCATAGATTTTTATCAGATCCCTTGTATCTTAACTACTGAATCAAATAAACATTAAAATTTTAAAAAGTTATAGACATCAACATCGTTTTATTAAAAAAATTTTAAAACCATAAGAGATACAAAATCTTAAAGTGAAATTTTTTTCTTTACATTACATAGATATTTATTTCTAAGAAACACTCTTTACTGTTTTTATATTGACAGACCAAGGATTGCTTGATCATAGACTGGTATTAGTCCAAAGATTGATCAAATTTAAAATTTTAAAATTATCTAAATATTATGAATATGTTATTTGTAAAAAACTTTCTGCAAAAAAAAAAAATCACCCCTTTAGGGAAGTAGGTAACTAAACATGCTGGGACTAGGTCAAAAGGACAAAGGCCAATTAAAATAGTTCCCCACTAGCCAAAGATAGGAAGGAATATGTGAGCACTAGAAGAAAAGAGATGGGATTCTTCTAATATTCAATAGCTGACGCTGTATTTACCCTACCATCTAACAATAAAAAGGAAAACAACTGAACATATATTCGAAACATTTTCAAGACTTTGGCAATCATCCAACAAAGTACAGCGATCCCTGATATCCAAGAAATAAACAAGGTAAACACTAAGCTTTCCTACTGGCTTATGGCTTTGAGCAAATTTCCAAGCAACTGTGGTGAGGAAAATCCTGGTTCAGGTTTTCCTGAGTCAAGGAAACTATACTAGGTGTCTGGGGAAACCAAGGCAGACAAATCACAGGACAGAATACACAAGATCAGACAATGCAATGAGAACTCTAGAGATCTGCAGAGTCCTCTTCAGTTTATAAGCCCTCATCATTGAAGGGCCACAGAAAACAATTTCTGAGGCTCAGAGACCTAGGGATAGTTTCCCTTCTCACCAGAGTAGAAAGTATTACAATCAACAATGCATAGCTCAGGGGACTAGAAAGGTTTTGCCTGAGTAATTTAAAATTAGCCCTAGTCTACCTCCTATTGTCTTGCCCAATATAGTTTAAAAGATCTTAAAGAACAATTGTTTCCAAGTAATTTAACAACCTCCTCGAAGTTCAAGGATAGTTATAAGAATCAGAAATAGCCAGCATCCAATGAGGTAAATTATACAAAGTCTCACATGCAATCAAAATTATTAGGCATCCAAAGTAGAAAAATATAATCCACAAAGAGAAATGAATGAATTAAAAAGCCATCTCAGAAATTTCACAAATAGCCATGTGTGGTGGTACATGCTTGTAATCCTAGTATTTCAGGGAGGCTGAGGCAGGAGGGTTGCCATGAGTTTGAGGCCAGTCCAGGATATATAATGAACTCATTAATTTTTTTTGGGGGGGTGGTATGAGAGATTGAACCCAAGGCTTTAACAAGAGCTGCAACCCCAGACCTTTTAAAAATTTTTCAGTTTTCTCACTAATTTGCTAAATTGCCCAATTGGGCTTGAAATTTTGATCCTCCTACCTCAGCCTCCCAAAGTGCTAGGATGACAGTTGCATGCTATAATCAACTTTTAAATCTATATACTAGAAATAAAAAACTGGAAAATAAAATAGTACCATCGAACCAGGCATGGTGGCACATACCTGTAATCCCTGCTAGTTGGGAGGCTGAAACAAAAAGGAAGTTCAAAGCCAGTGTCACTGATCAATCTTAGTATCACTAAAAGTGGAAAGTGCCTCCTGCCTTGATGTCACAAGAAACACAAGCTGATTCATATATGCCAGCCACAAAAAGAGAACCTGAATCTACTCAATCCCATAGATCTAAGTACCAGTTTATAAGAAACACGAGGAAGAGGACTATGTTAAATGTTACCTTAAGGATACAATCATCCATCAAATTCAAAATGTGAGAAGTTCAATTATAAATGACTGAGGTTCTTCAACAAATAAATGACATGACTACACTTGCTGGAGAGATGAAAAGTTTGAGACATTAATCAAAGGTAAGATATGACCTTGTTTGGATCCTGATTTGAATAAACCAGGTGAAACAGTAAACTGAAATCAGACTATGTATTAGATGACACAATAGATTTAATTTTGTTAGGTCTCATTATGGTATTATAATTAAGCTTTTTAAACAAATTAATTTCATTGGTACATTTTAGATATCCATAATGATGACATTCATTATAGGGAATTTGTACCTGTACATGATATATCTTGGTTCTTTGTAATTATGCTTTTTGAAAAGCCCTTACTGGTTAGAAATATACATTGAAGTACATAATGGGTAAAATGGTCTTCAGAAGTTATTTTGTCTTAAAAGTCCAGGGAAACTACTTGGTAGACTGGGACAGGAAGATCTCAATTTTGAAGCCAGGTTGGTCAACTGAGACCCTGTCTCAAAATAAAAAACACTGGGCTTGGGGGCTCAGTGGTTCTGGCACCTGCCTCGCAAGTGCAAAAGCCCAAGTTTGATCCCTGGTACCAAACAAACAAACAAACAAACACTGACTCAGTGGCACCATGCCTGCCTCACAAGCACAAGGTCCTGAGTTTGATCCCCAGTACCAAAAATAAAAAAAATAAAAAAACTAAACCCTGGGGTGATAACTAAGTGGAAGGCCTTGAGTTCAAAGCACTAGTATTAGAAAGGGAGGGAGGGAAGGAAGCATGTCTGTGCACAGGAAACAAAAAAATGAATGTGAAACCGTAGACAACTAAAACTCTTTTCTCATGTTTTATTACTTACTTGGTGACTTGCTTATGCTGTAGTTATTAAAAAAACAGGGCTTTTGTGCATTTACTCCTTGTTTGTCTACTTGATGAGACTGGGTAGCTTCTTTCAGTTGAGATAGAATTTGTCTACCACTGCGCTGGGAGGAGGCATTCACCTCAAATATCTACAAAAAGATGCGAGAAAAAGAAGGATTTGTTTTCTGATAACACTAATGATGACATCCCCAGCTCCCATTGTATCTGCTACTAACCTTGAATCCAAGCTCCTGAGCACAAGCATACACTGTGGCAGTTTTACCCACTCCTGTTGGCCCTGTTATAAGAACAGTGTTGCAGAGACGGCTCTCTTCATCTGAGCTGCCTTGAAAGTCTATCCTATCTGAAAAATCTGAAAAGAGTATTCAAATGTACAGAAGGTGATTAAAGCTTAGGCGACAAACAATTCTACCTCATGAAACCCACTCACTATGTCCCTCAAGTTTCTTGCCAATAAATGTTGAAAAATAAATTTATAAAAGTAGAAGCCAAATATAAAACACTAACTCATATTTCATAAAAAAATTTTTAGCTAATCTCAATCAGGCATAGTGGCGCATGCCCACAAAATCCAGCCCGTGGAAGGCTGAAGCAAGAGATCTTGTGCCTGAGGCCAGCCTGGGCTACATAAGGAGACTCTGTTTCAAAAGGAAACAAACAAGTTGAGCATGGTGGTGCACGCCTATAACCCCAGCAACTTAAGAAAGCTGAAGCAGGTGGATCACTGTCAGTTCAAGGCCAGACTGGGCTACACAGCAAATTCAAGGCCAGCCTGAACTAATATCAAGACCCTTTCTCAAAAAAAAAAAAAAAACGGTAATGTTACTAAAGAAGTAAATGTTTGGTGTAATGGAAATGACTCAAAATATCTACCTTCCTGTTTCTCATCTCTTTTTCCCTTCAAGTTCTGTCTTTCTTCCAGTTCTGCTCTTCTTTTCCAGTCTTTCAACCAGCTGTCATTAAAAAAAAAAGCACATTAGTAACAATAATTCACAGAATATAGATACCCATTAAACCTTATATTAAAATGACTTGGGCATTATGGCATAATGCAGGTTTTTATGTACTCCATAGTGGCTCTAAATCACCTAATACTAAAATAGTTTTGTATGGACATGAATTTTTTTGTTTTTGTTTTTGAGACAGGGTGTCTCTACATAGTTGAGACTGACCTGGAACTCACTATGTAGCCCAGGCTGGTCTCAAAGTCACAGCGATCTTCCTGCCTCAGCCTCCCGAGTGCTGGGATTACAGGCATGTGCTACCACATGTGGCTGGACATGAATATTTTAAAAATGAAGGGCCAGGGATTTAGCTCAGCGGCACTGTGACTGTCTTGCAAGTGCAAAGTCCTGAGTTCAATCCCCACCCGGTACCCCCCAAAATCAATTAAAAAAATTAAAAAATGGCCAGGTGGGACTATCTAGAGTGGGACTATCTGAATGTAAATCCCAGCTCTTCCACGGGTTACCTATGTGACTCTGTGTTTTTTTGGTACCAGGGATTGAACTCAGGACCTTGTGCCTGTGAGACAGGCAGGCCTATGTGACTCTGGATAAATAACCTTTCAAGGGCTGTTTCTTCATTGAAGAGATCAAAACAACAGGGGCCAGGGATTTAGCTCAGTGGTGCTGCCACCTGCCTTGCAAGTGCAAGGTCCTGAGTTCGAGCTCTGGTACCCCCCAAAAAACCACACACAATAGTATTAACTCTGACAGTTCTGTTCTAAGGATTAAATCAACTAAGGACAGTGTTTGTTTGTTGATTTTTCTGAGATAGGGTTCACTGCGTAGTTCCAGCTGCACTGAGGTCACTCTGTAGTCCAGGCTGGCCTCAAACTCGCAGTGATCCTCCTTCTTCAGCTTCCCAAGTGCTGGGATTTCAGGCCTGCGCCACCACTGCTGGTACAACAGTGTTTGTTTGTTTGTTTGTTTGGGGTTTTTTTTTGGTATCTGTGATCAAACTCAGGACCTTGCACTTGCCAGGTAAGTGGTGGAACCACTGAGCTAAATCCCCAGCCCACAACAGTGTTAAATACTTGGAACAGTTTCAAATTCACAATATTAACTGTTACAATGGGTCCACAATTCCTTATGAAATCATTTGGTCAAGTACTATAATTTCAAAATCCACAATTTTTCAGGTATTAAAAAGGCAAGTTGAATGCCTACTAAATGTGATTAACAAAGATTATAACAAACTTCATATAACAGTAGCTTTTTCTGTTTTCAGAACTTTCTGTGGACACAAATTAATAGTAATATGATCCCACTGGTTAGAAAAGAACTACTGCATATGTACAATTTTTTTTCTAGAAGGTTTAAGAAGAAAGTTCCAATTACTGTAACCTCTGGGGGGGATAAATATGAGAAAATAAACTTTTCACTTAAAATTTTTGTTTTTAAAATTATTTTCCTGTGTACTATATTACTTTATAATTTTAATTTTCAAATTTTGGTCTAATAAAAGAAATAGCAAACTAAATTTGTAAACTATTTCTCAATTCCTTTACAAATGTCACCAACCTATGTAACTTTTTTATAGCTAACTCATTGCCTATGAGTTCAATGGCATTCTGAGGTTGGTACTTTTCTGTCCAAAGCATGTCTTCAGTTCCAGAATCTAAAGAAAAAAAAAAACTAAGATATTATTTATTCCTTGATATAAGCATATAGTGTTACACATTTACATAATTGCTATAATATAACAATAATTATTTGCAGAAATCTTAATGCTTTCAAAATGTCAAAAAGGTCATTTTAAAACTTAACATTATATTTAAAATTCTTCACATAAAATCCAATCCTCCTGAGTTGGGCGTGGTGGCGCACACCTGTAATCCCAGCACTCGGGAAGCTGAGGCAGGAAGATCGCTGTGAGTTCAAGACCAGCCTGGGCTGCAGTGAGTTCCAGGTCAGTCTCAACTACACAGTGAGACCCTGTCTCAAAAAACCAAAACAAACAAACAAAAATCCAATCCTCCTAAAAAACTAACCACCAAAAAACCCAAAAATGAACCAACCACCATAAAACCTCACATAGGTAAGGTATAAAAAAAGTATACATTAGGGCCAAGGACACAGCTCAATGCAAGAGCACTTGGCTACATCAACTGACAAGAGGATAAAGAAGATGTGTTTTTTTAATACGATGGAGTACTACTCTGCCATAAAGAAGGATGAGCTTCAGACATTTACAGCTAAATGGATGGACCTTGAGACCATACTCTTAAGTGAAATAAATCGGACACACATGGTTAAATACCACATTATTTCTCTGGTGTGAGAAACTGAAAGTGGAAATAAGGACTGAAATGTATGGGATGTTGGGAAATGGGAAGAAAGTGTTCAAATGGGAAGGGGAACAAGGGGGAGGGACAGAGAAAGGAAGGAAGGGACAAGAAAAAAGTGAAAGTAGAAGGAAAAAATGGGGAAAAAAAGAGCACCTGGCTAGCATGCATGAGGCTCTAGGTTTCACACCTAGTTAAAAAAAATAATAAAAAAGAAGCACATTAAAATTTGTAATGGGTCAGGATTTTAGTTCAGTGTTGTCGCCGCCTGCCACACAAGCACAAAGACCCGAGTTTAATCCCCAAATAACAACAAAAAAAAACCAGTTTGTAATAACCAAAAAGAAACATGAAATATGGAAAATAATTTTTAGCATAAAATAATAAAAAGAACAAAGGCAGCACACTCTTAATGGATTCTCTTTTAACCACTGAAAAGAAACATGAAGACATCCTATAAAGTCAACCTAGATTTAAAAAAGAACAAATTACAGTGGGTGTGATGGCGCATACCTGTAATCCCAGAAACTAGAGGCTAAAACAGGAGGATCACAAATTCAAGGTCAGCCTGGGCAATTCTGTCTCAAAATAAAAAATAGAAAGGGCTAGGGAGGTAGCTCAGTGAGAGGCCCTGGGTTCAATCCCCAGTTACCACAAAAAAAAGAAGAGACAAATGTTACACTCCTAACAGAGAAGACCGAATATTGTTAAGAAGCTAATTCTCTCCAACATAATCTATAAAGTAATGTAAAATCAAAATCTCTATGGGATTTAGGGGGGTAAAGGAACTAATGGTTCACTTAGTAAACTAAGTTCACAAAAATACTATAAAAATTAATAATAATATGCTGGACGTAGTGGTGGAATCCTGTAATCAATCCTATTACTCCTGAGTCTCAGGCAGAAAGACTACTATGAGTTCAAGGTCAGCCTGGGATACATATTCAGTCAAGGCCAGCCTGAACTAAATAGCAAGATTCTGTCTTAGAAAGCCATAAAATTTTAAAAAATGATATGTGATTTGTCATATCAAGTATTAAAGTTTATTTAAAAATGGATTAATTAAATCAGTTCAACAGAATACTCTGGGCAAGATACATATTTTTTTTGGGGGGGGGGCAAGATATTTAAACTGATTGTAAATGTGTAGTAATGAGAAATACACTGTATTTGTAGTACCGATCCCAGGCTTTCACAGAATTATCTGTAGCTGGGTGTGGTGGTACATGTTTATAGTTGCATACCTGGGAGGCTGAGACAGGAAGATTACAAATTCAAACCCAACCCTGGCAATGTAAGGACCGGTGAGGCACTGCCTCAAAATAAAAAGTGAGAAGGATTGGGAGTGCAGCTCAGCATGAAGACACCAGGTTTAATTCCTAGTTGTACCGTACCAAACCAAACCAAACAAAAAAAACAAGGCATATGTATTGAGCTGGAGGTGACGATCAGTGGTAATGCACATGGCTAGCACATACAAGGCCCTGGGTTTGATCCCAACACCATCACCAAAAAAAAATAAATAAATAAAAATAATAATAATAATAATAATTTTTTTAAGCATATGCATTTAAAGATGCACATAAAATCAGTTTAAACACCTATCTGTTTCTATGGTTAACTGTTAGCCTTAAATCAGTGTGGCTTCCACTTATATTATATACACATATATTGTTTAAAAGTTTCAAAATCAGGAGGCCGAGGCAGGAGAATCTACAGTTTGAGGCCAGCCTTGGCAACACAGAAAGACCCTGTCTCAAATGAACAAAAAAAAAAAAAAAAAAAAAAAAAAAAAAAGAAAAGAAGAGGGTGGTGGGGGAAGAGGTTCAAAAACGTAAGTTCTAGAATGAGAAGAAGAAAACGTAACTTACCAGGAATGGAAGATGTTTCTGCTGCAGGCTCTTTGTCATCATCTCTTATCAGAGTACCATTATCCACTGCTTCGGTTTTCACTCTACACGTTGTACTTAAAGCAGTTTGTTTCTTCTGGGATGTTTTACAAAATATACCTTTAGAAGAATCTAGCTTTTTACCAGAAGAATTGTTGCTTTTGTCAAGTTCTTCTGGCTTCTCATATATCTTTTCTGGATTTACTGAATATTCATTTAGTTTCTTTCTTTTTGACTTCAGAATTTCTGTCTTCATTCGTTTCCTTTTTGTTCCTTTTTGTGTGATATCAGGCTCTAGTTGTGAACTTTCTATTTCAGAAATTATAGAAGGCATGTGCTTAATAATCAACAAAAACAATTTTAAATACCCAATAATCTTCATATCACTGCAAAATATCTGCACAAGGATGACATGTAAATTTATGATGCATTCCATAGTTTACTAAAATTGGAATGATATAGAGAAGATTAGCATGGCCTCTGAGAAAGTTGAGTGACATTAATATGAAAAGGTAAGAATCTATGTGACATGCTGAAAGTAAGCCTTCTGTATAAAGATATAAATTAAACTAGCTCATCTATGGCTTTCCTTAAATGAATGATAATCAAACATAATTAAAACTGTCTAGCCGGGCGTGGTGGCGCACACCTGTAATCCCAGCACTCCGGAGGCTGAGGCAGGAGGATTGCTGTGAGTTTGAGACCAGCCTGAGCTGCATAGTGAGTTCCAGATCAGTCTCAACTACACAGTGAGACCCTGTCTCAAAGAACCAAAAAAAACAAAAAAAACTGTCTTTCACTGGGCAAGTTAATACATGCCTGCAATCTCAGCTCCTGGGAAGGCTGAGGCAGGAGGATTACAAATTTGAGGCCATCCTGGGCAATTTAGCAAAACCCTGTTTCCAAATAAAAAATTAAAAGCGAGGAATATATATTAGTGGTGGTGCAAACCTGAATTTAATCCCCCAAACTGCAAAAATAAGTCAATGAATAAAAGCTATATTTCCGTTGGCATCTCTGGAAGATGGCAGGCATGAACACTGGACTGTACAAGCTGCTGTACTTTAGGTAAATAGTTGTCCTTGCCCAATGTAAGCAATGATTTGGCCACTTCTGAGTCAGAGGCTAAGGCTTCATGTTTTCAAATCTGAAATATTAGCATAATACAGCATAATGACAACAATGATCACTAACCTTGTTTACCATGATACTCAGAAAGTACCTGGTATTCAACTCGTTTTTTTATAAGCAAAGGAAAGTATTTTCCCAAAGAAAATTCAGGATTTGACCACCCAATTTCCTCCAACAAAATGTTTCTTACTTCTTTAGCAAAATCATTCCTTGTCCTCATACGCTGCAATGAACAATAAAATGTCACAATAAAAGATCCATACCATTTAGTAATATTAATCACAATAATATCAATCATTTTGCAAGCGCAAGGACCCAAGTTCGATCCCTGGTACAAAAAAAAAAAAAAAAGTCAATATCTATGTGGGACTAGCTTTAGTCACAAAATACAAAGCTGCATTGCATAGCTTTTGAAGGATTTAATTTTTTTTAAAAAGGACTTAATTCATATTTTTCTTTTTCTCTCTCTCAGTTGGACTTTACATATTTATTAGACTACATTGCTGACTTATATCTATAAAATATCTACAATGCTTACTTATAAAATACAAGCATGGTGGTGCACGCCTGTAATCCCAGCACTATGGAGGCTGAGTTAGGGGGATCACCCTGAGTTCAAGACCAACCTGAACTATATAGCAAGACCCTGTCTCAAAAAAAAGGGGGGAGGCTGGGGATTTAGCTCAGTGGCACCACACCAGCAGGGGGATTTAACTCTAGGTTCAAATATGGTGGCAAAGGACTGTAATTTCACCACTTGGAAGATGGAGGCAAGAGGGTCACTGTGAGTTCAAGGCCAGCCTGGGCTACATAGTGAGATCCTGTCTCAAAAAACAAAACAGCAACAAACTTGACCCTATGAAAAAAGGAACTCTAAGACCCAACAGCCAATACCCAAGTTTTTTTCCTCTGAAAGATGTGAAGGAAACATTCTACAGTAGTGAGTGAGCTCTTTAGTACTTACCATGACATCAGAACCACTGTTCAAATTTGAATCCAATGTTGAGAATTCACCAAGAGCAATAACATGTTTGGAAATATCTGTTACTTTTGTATCCTGCTCTTTAAATTTAGTTAAAAGGGGACAAGAGGGTAGTTTTAAATGCCATAACAAACAGCCTACAGAAAAATGAAAAAATATCTTAATTAACATTATACACTATGCATTTACTGAGTGTCAAGTGTACAAACACAAACACTTGACAAATCCTAGTATGCAAGAGTCCCTGTGTTCAATTCCCAGAACACAAAAAATAAATAAAACAAAACAACAACAACAAAAACCCCAAACCTACAACTACATAAGTAACACAGTAGTATCCCAAACTACATAAGTAACTACATAAGTACTACACAGCAGTATCTCAAATCCATATAAGTACACAGGAAACAAAATCCTCACAACCAAGAAATACCATTAAGGCTTGGGATTTAGCACAGTGGCGCAGTGCCTGTCTCGCAAGCACAAGGCCCCAAGTTCAAACCCACTACCAAAAAAACCCCACCACCACAACAACAAAAAACAAGTGGATATTAGCAACTGTCATTTTGACACTCAGGGTAAAAATTTAAAGGGCAGTTTACATCAAACTTTAAAGTTTAAACTTTTTTTTTTTTTTTTGGTACCAGGCATCGAACTCGGGACCTTGTGCTTTTGAGGCAGGTGGCAGCACCACTGAGCTAAATCCCCGGCCCTAAAATTTAAACTTTTAAGTCAAACCTGTATTCAAATCCAGAGTGTGCCACTTATTACTCTTGTGAATATGGCAAGATCACAATCATAGTTTCTTTATCTGCAAGCAGAGGTGACAATTACAATATTCAACCTCTTAGAATTGTTTAGGGATTATCTGCTCAAAAGAATTCCAGAAAACAGTAAGAACTCAGTAATTCCTAAGGATGCAAAAGAGAAAGGTTCTCTCTGTGACTGCCTACAAATAGAAATAATAGTAGTACTCCTGTGAAAATGGGTTTATAATATTCAGGGAAGAAAAGCCATCTAATTTCTGTAGTTGAACATACTGTTGAACATACTGTTAGCAGAGCGCTACCCTAGCAGTTGTAAGGAACCAGGTTTAATCCCAGCACTAAAAGAGGAAAGGAGAGAGGGAGGAAGAGAGGAAATGTTACATGGACATGTACTATGAAGAATACCAATAAAGACTTCATCAACCAAATGGTCAGTGGCAGAAGGTAAAATGAGAAAAAACAGAAGAAATTATTAGAAAAATTGGCTGTAAAATTCCCTAAGGGAAAAAAAGGCGGAACAGGGCGGAGATGTAGCTCAGTGGTAGAGCACTTGCCTAGGATGTGCAAGGCCCTATGTTTGATCCCTAGTACCACCAAAAGAGACAGACAGAGAGGCTGAATAAAACTCGTAAAGTATCAGGTCAGAAACACAAAAGGAAAAGAAAGGAAAACAGAACACAATGCACATTTTATGGGCAGAGGGAATGCATAGAACTAAATCTCAAAGCCAAATGAGATGAACACCATTGTTTAGGGCTGCAAAAAGCAAAACACAGGGGCCAGGAATATAGCTCAGTGGTACCTCGCCTGCCTTACAAGCACAAATACTGAACTCCATTCCCAGTACCAAAAAAAGAAGGAAAAAAAAATCTCTAGGTAGGAACCTGGAAAAATAATAACAAAAGATTCTGCACACTATTAGTAATTAAAAATTATAAATAGGACTGGGGATTTAGCTCACTGGTGCCACGCCTGCCTCATAAGCACAAGATCCCGAGTTCTGATCCCTGATACTGGAAACAAAACAAAACAAAAAAAAAACAACATTTTAAGTAGCTGGGCATATCACGCACATAATTTCAGCACTGGGAGGCTGAGGCACGAAGATCACGCTTTAATTTCATTTCCTTTTCCCCTCCCCTCTCCTCTCCTCTAACCCTTCCCTTCTTTCTCAGTGCTGAGGATCAAATCCAGAGCCTCATGCACACTGAGCAAGCACTCATTTACCAATGTTCTCAGACATATGAGAAACCCTCAAGCTAATCCAATCACACACATGCTATGATTTCAGAGGGGAATAGCCTTCCTTTCTAGAACACATAACCTGTTCGAGAATAATATTCACTCCAGGTTCCTCACACCCTGACATAAAGGATGGGGTAAGGATCCCTTTGGTCTCTTGGCTCTCCAACACCCGCACTCAATAAATTGAATCCAAAGCTGAGGAAGAAAGGATGAAACACGTCTTTAAAATATCCACGTGCTGGGCATGGTGCTGTGAGCCTATAATCAAATCACAGCACTTGGGAGGCTGAGGCAGGAGGATAGCTGCGAGTTTGAGGCCAGCCTCACCTACAAAGTGAGTTCAAGTCCAGCCCAAACTACCTAAGGAAACTTTCTCTTAAAAAATAAAACAAAGAATTCCCACTAAAACCACCATAAAAATGATGGATCTAGGAAACCTCAGCCTCATTTTTAAACACCTTAGACAGTTTTCATACTGCCTTTAAAAGTTAAAGAGTAGAGCCAGGGATTTAGCTCAGTGGTGCTGCCTGCCTGGCAAGGTCCTGAGTTCAGTCCCCAGTACCATCCCCAACAACAACAAAAAGAGTCAGAAGGCCGGGCGTGGTGGCGCACGCCTGCAATCCCAGCACTTGGGAAACTGAGGCAGGAGGATCACGGTGAGTTCAAAACCAGCCTGGGCTACATAGTGAGTTCCAGGTCAGCCTCAACTACATAGCAAGACCCTGTCTCAAAAAAAAAAAAAAAAAAAAAAAAAAAAGAGTCAGAAAAATATTCAGTAATAACAAACTTACCATCATCCTTTTGCTGTATATGAACAACTGCCTGGAAACTGGTACCCACTGTGTTATACATATCCAGTGCAGCAGCTTTCTTTGCAATTTGTCGTTTCAACAAATCTGGCAAACCACTCATTAGAAAATCACGCTTTGCTTTAAATTGTACATCACAATCCTGAGATTTTTCAGATGTATCTTGACTTTTAAGAAAATGATTTGAAAAAGAAAAATTAAAGTTATAAATACCAAAAACACACACTTTTTAGAAAATAAACACTTCTGAATTTAACTTAAAAATCAATCAGCTACTTAAGATGTTAGCTGGTCAAATTGTTTTCTGTTTAAGTCAACCATGTATAGAAATATGAATAGGAAAAAATGTTACCTGGGACTATCTTTAGGTGGGAGGTGAGTTTTCTTCCTTGTATTTTTTCATTTTATTTTGGGGATGGAACACAGGGCATCACATGTGCTAGGTAAGCACTCTACAACTAAGCTACCTCCCCAGCTTTAGAGTGTTGTTGTAGCTGTTGTTAACCATGTATTTATATTATAATGAGAAAACAAAATCTGTGTCACTTTCAAAAAGTTATTACAGGAACCTGTAATATAACATTGGTTCCGGGGCTGGGGATCTAACTCAGTGGTTCAGTGGTTCCATTGCCTGCCTTGCAAGCACAAAGACCCAAGTTTGATCCCCAGTACCAAAAAAAAAAAAAAAAAATTTTTTCCAATAAAACAGGAAATATTAGTTTTTTCTCTTTTTTTTTTTTTTTTTTTTTTGGTACCAGGGATTGGGCTTAGAATGTTGTGCTTACAAGGCAACCAGCAGAACCACTGAGCTAAATCCCCAGTCCAACCCTTATTATTGATATCTATTTTAGTTGTGTTATCTTTAGATTATTAATCATAAGAATCTTTTTTTTTTTTAACACTGAGAATTGAATCCAGCCAGGGGTAGCTATTGATTCATTTTTATTTTTATTTTTTTGGTACTGGAGATCAAACTTGGGTCCTTGTATTTGTGAGGCAGGCAACAGAACCACTTGAGCTAAATCCCTGGCTCAAAATAGTGTTTTTAATTTTTAAAAAAGGGAAATGAGGGCTGGGGATTTAGTTCAGTGGTTCTGCTACCTGCCTTGAAGGCGCAAGGTCCTGAGTGCAATCCATGGTACAAAAAAAAAAGGAAATGAAAATCTAAAAAAGATCCATTCACGTCCATTCAAATGGATAAAATGTAAAAGATAAAAAAATGAAAATGTCCACACAAAGACTTGTATGTAAGTGTTCATGTCTCCTTTATAGACAATGGTTTAAAATTGGAAACAACCAAATGCCCATTAGCAGGTAAATGGACAAAAAATAGTATATCCATGCAATGGAATACCACTCAGCAAATATAAGAACACACTGGTATTTTAAAATTTTAGTTGTTTTTCTTCCATTTTACATACTGATATATTTAACAATATGAATAAGCCTCAAAATCACTATGGCGAGAGAGATGCAAGCCACACACACACACACACACACACACACAATTCCTTCCTTCCTTCCTTCCTTCCTTAGTGATGAGGATCAAATCCAGAGTGGTATTATTTTCTTAATGTGAAGTTCTGGAAGATGCAAACTAATATAATGAAAAGAAACTAGACAGCACTTGGGAGGCTGAGGCAGGAGGATCACTGTGAGTCCGAGACCAGCCTGGGCTACATAGTGAGTTCCAGGTCAGTCTCAACTACATAGTGAGACCCTGTCTCAAAAAGAAAAAAAAAAGAAACGTGTTTGCTTGAGGTAGGGCCATAAGAAGAATGGAGCAAAGAACATGAAGAATCCACTGTGGGTAATGAAAATATTTCCATATATTGATATGGCAGCTTTATACAATTAAAAAATTTTTTTAAACCTCACAAAATATATACTTTAAATGCGCAGTTGAATGTAAGGTATACCTCAAAAAAGTTTAAAATTAATTAAGAGTTAACAAAAACTAGGAGTGTAGCTCAGTGGTAGAACACTCAGAGCAAAAAAATAAATGCCCACAGGGGATACTATTAATACTACAAAACCACTAAAATGGCAAAAGCAAAAATTCCTAACCAGAAATAGTAGCACATGCCTATAATCTCAGCACTCAGAAGCCTAAGGCAGGATATCAAATTCTATACCAGCCTGGACAACTATGCAAGACTCTGGTTCAAAATAAAAAATTTAGACTGGAGATATTGCTCAGCACTTCTGGATTCAATCCTCAGTTCTGAAAAAAGTGTATGTATGCATGTGTGTATGTGAATGTTAAGCAAAGAATACACTTATGAAGTTTATGTGGCATTCTTGAACTGAAGAAACTAATCTATGTCAATGGAAATCAAATTCATTGATGGACTTATTAAAGATTCAAATGATAATTTACATGCTTTCTTATCAAAGTAAATTAGTAAATATAAAATGCATTACATAAAACATTTTGTCATTTTAAAAACTGTATTGGACTGACCTGTTCTCATCAAAAACAAGGATAGGATCAGCTGTTTTCTGAGTCTTTTTGGCAAGAAATAAAGGAGCAACTTTCATTTTTCCTTAGAAAAATAAATATATAATATTAGTATAAATGCTTAGCACTTCCATTTCAGCAATTAAAAAAATTATATCCCTCTCGCTTTCTCTCTCTCTCTACAAACACACACACACACACACACACACACACACACATTTTGGGGTGGTAACCAGGAATCAAACTCAGGACCTTGCACTTGCCAAACAGGCAGTGTCACTGAGCTATATCCACATTTTTAAATACTTTTAATTATTTTTTAAATTATAAAATGTCTATATAATGATCTGTTCCCTAAACCTGGCAGTATCAGAATCTCCTGTAGAACTTTTATTTTTAACTACAGACAATACAATGATGGAGATTCTTATTCGATATCTTTGGTAAAGACCTAAACATTTTTTAGAAGTTTTAACCGACCCAGACAATTCTGTTGATCAATCAGGTTTGGGAACTACTAAATTTAAGGCTACACAGATATATTAAAAAATGAAATCTTGAATATGCTCACACTAAACAAATGCTCAATTCCCCTTTGATAAACTCCACTATATCAGAATATTACTTATTAAAATAGAATGTAGGGGCTGGGGATTTAGCTCAGCGGTTCGGTGGCCTGCCTTGCAAGTGCAAGGACCCAAATTCAATCTCTGGTACCAAAAAAAAGAATGTGGGGCCGGGGATTTAGCTCAGCGGTTCGGTGGCCTGCCTTGCAAGTGCAAGGACCCAAATTCAATCTCTGGTACCAAAAAAAAGAATGTGGGGCCGGGGATTTAGCTCAGTGGTTCCATCGCCTGCCTGAGTTTGATCCCCAGTACCACAAAAATAAATAAATAAATAGAATAGAATAGAATGTAATTAAAATTTTCGATATTAAATGAGGCTAAATTTGCAATATAAGCACAATCAGAATAATCCCCCCAAACATTCTACTCTTCAACAAAAGTGGTATTATTTCTGATTACCAGGTATTTTTTTTGGAGACTCCTTAAGTTTTTTTCCCAGCACATCATTCAAACACTGTAGTTTCTTCTGATTCTTCTCTGAATTTTTAAAAGAAGTAGGACTTGAGTCTATTATTATTACAGAGTCCTAAAACAAAATAAAAAAACAAACAAAAATTTAAATACTGTAGGCCCCTTATTTGTGGGTGATACTTTCTAATAATCCCAGTGGATGCCTAAAACCTCTCACACAGTTCAAATATAAAAGGGGTGATTAAACTATCCAGGCAATGTTTAGATTTACAAAATTTTATTACAATAAGACATTGCCGTTATTCCTCCTGAAAATATTCCCCTGGGTTCAAACATGCATATCCCCTGGTTCTTATCAGTTTCTGGGATATTCTGGAAGTCCTCTTTCGTGCCTTTCAAAGGTATGATCAAAAACATGGTAAATGCTGCTGCTAATACACAGGCTCATAAAACTTTTCCAGTATACCCACATCCACCTTATTCACTGCATCTAACACCATGTGAATTCCGGCTCTTCCCCAAATTCAAAAGGATCATGAATGGTAAACACTTTGAAGCAATTCTGGACATTAAGGAAGCCACGACAGCACATAAAGACACGAAAGAACTTTCACAACTGCTTCATGAAGTGGCAACAATGGATATGGTATGTGTCTGAAGCAAGGGGCAATGTTTTGAGAGAGATTAATGTTAATGTGTATTTTCCCATAATGAATTCTTTTAATTTAAAAATTCAATGTATTTTATTAATTTTTTTGTACTGGGGATTGAACCCAGGGCATTCTTGCCGAGCTACATACCCAACCCTTTTGTAATTCTTTATTTTGTTGTTTTTAGTTTTGTTTGCATTACCAGGGATGGAACTCAGGACCTTGTACTTGGAAGGCAGGCATGGTGCCACTACGCTAAATCCCCAGCCCAATATTTTCTCTTTTTTTTTGATACCAGGACTGAATTCAGGCCCTTGAGTTAGCAAGGCAGGCACTGGAACCACTGGGCTAAATTCCCAGGCCTTGTAATTTTTTATTTTGAGACAGTGACTTGATAAGTCACTAAGTTGTAAGTTGCCCACATTAGGCTTGAATATGTGATCCTCTTGCCTCAGCCTCCCAGAATGCTGGTATACAGGCATGTAGCACCTTGTCCAGTTATGGATTTTCTGTGTGGGTGTGTGTTACCATGGATTGAACTCAGGACCTTGCACTTTGCTAAGCAAGAACTGACTTCAAATTTTATAGAACAGGGGCCAGGGATTTAGCTCAGCAGTTCCGCCACCTGTCTTGCAAGGGCAAGGACCCGCGTTCAATCCCCAGTACCAAAAAAATAAATAAAACTTTTACAGAACAGTTTAGGGAAGAGAGAGAGAGAGAAAACTAGTCTATGAAATGCGTAGATGGGTTAACTATTCTTAATACAGTATGGTAAAAGCAAAATTGAATAAAGTATGAAAAACTGCAAAAGAAAAATACATATAAGAATGGAAACTACCATATCTGTCTTGAGGGCATCAGTAGTTTTTAAGGAAAGAGAGTAGAATGTTCAAAGCATTATTTGTAATAGCCAGAAAGTAGAAACAACACAAGTGTCCAAAAAATGAAGGATGGGTAAACCAAATACAATGTATTCAATGAGATATTATTAGGCAAAGAAATGAAATACTAGCAGGGAATGGTGGCACACACCTGTAATTCCAGCACTTGAGAGGCAGACACAGGACGATTACGAGCTTGAGGCCAGCATAGTCTACAAAACCGGCTCAAGCCTAGCCTAGACTACACAACAAGACTGTCTCACAAACAAAAAAGAAATAAAATGGGTTACAACAAGGATGAATCTTAAAAACATGCTGCCAGGTGTGGAAGTACATACCTGTAATTCCAAATACTCAGGGGCCGGGGATTTAGCTCAGCAGTGCTGGGCCTGCCTCACAAACCCAAGGTCCTGAGTTCAATCCCAGGTACCAAAAAACAAACAAACAAAAGCAAATACTCAGGAGGCTAAGGCAGGATGATCACAAATTCAGGGCCAGCCTGGGCAACTTAGTGAGACCCTGTCTTAAATTGGGCTGAGAATGTGCCTCAGTGCTACAGTGTTTGCCAAGCATAGGTGAGGCCCTAGGTTTAATCTCAAAGATAATAATAATAATAGAAAAATATGGACTGGGGATTTAGCCCAGTGGTTGTGCCGCCTGCCTCATAACTGCAAGGTCCTGAGTTCAATCCCCGGTATCAAAAAAGAAAAAGAATAATAGTGTTAAGTAAAAGAAGCCAGACACAAAGCACCACAAGTTACATATTACTTTCATGATATTTTCAGAATAGACTAAGCTATAGACTTTCCTATAGAAAACAGATTAGTAGTTAGCTAGGTGAGGGGAATGGAAGAATTAGGAAAGGACAGCAAAGGTAAATGGGTTCTGTTTTTGGAGCAATGCAAATATTATAAAATTGATTACGACAGATATAGAACTACAGGCCTTGAATTGTACACTTTAAATGAATTGCACAGTATGTGAATTATAGCTCAATAAAGCTATTTTTTAAAAAAAGAATTTGCATTTCACATGATCTTAAAGTTATACATGCCAGGCATAGTACCTCATGGCTGTAATCCCTGTAGTTGGGAGACTGAGGCAGGAGGATCACCATGAATTCAAGGCCATCCTTGGGCTACATAGTGAGTTCAAGGCCAGCCTGAACTACAGAGCAAGACCCTGTCTCAAAATACAGGGGGAAAAAAAAAGCTGAGCAGGAAATAGGTAGAAGAGAGAGAACTTGGAATACATATATATATATTTTTTTTCTTTTTGGCACCAGGAATTAAACTCAGGACCTTATGCTTGCCAGGCAGGAGTAGCACCACTGAGCTAAATCCCTGGCCCTCTTGGAATGTATATTTGAAGCTGAGACAATAAAATGAAAACAGCAGTGTCAATAAAATAAAAAATGAGATAAACAAATAGTATGAATACCACAAAGAACGGCTTTGAGGAAAGGGAAGGGAGCCAGATATAGCTGATGAAAGTCTTGAGTGACTTGAGGAAGATCTGTACTGTATTTTATAAGCTAAAACGAGTGATAGGCTTTAAAATAGAATTCCAAATGATTCTCTTTCTATCACTTTAAGGCTGTCATACAATTCAATCTCCTACTTTATAATGGTTCCTCTTCCACACCAAAGAGCAAAATGAAACAATTTATACTAACAGATGGAATACTTATAACAGTTGTAATACTTACATCCGCTTCTGAAGATTTCTCCCTTTCTCGAAGAGCCTGATGCCTAGAGGAACGCCTTAAAGGTAAGGCTATTTCTTCATTAGCCTTTGACCTACTGATGTGTAAGGCTTTTGCTTTCTCAATCAGTTGCTTGGCTTTTGAAATATTTTTTGAAGTATTGTTGGCCTAGACAAAAATTTGAAATATTAACTTAGTTCAGAGCTAGTATTTTCCATTTAATAATAAAAAAGAAATATATAATAGAAAAAATGTAATTGCAAACACATTAAACAATCATCATAGAAATGGTTACTCCAACCTTATCAGGAATCTTAAGTTAAAATGTAGGTAATAATTAGTTGGCCTTTCTTATTTGCAAGTGTCCTGATGAATATAGTGGTACTTTGGATCATGATTTTAATTCATTCCACAATTCTGGAAAAAATGGCTACATCTGTGTTCATCACCCAATGCAGAATTCACAAACAAAAATGAAATTTTGCCAAATGTTTCTGCTTGTGAACCAAATTGCTCACAAACAAAGGCATTCATGAACTGAGGTACCATTATACATATTACATCTATCCAAAATACCCAGAAAGATGTTTGTTGTATTCTCCCACTATCTTCACGATTTTAGTTACCAAAATCTGGTAAAGTACTTCCCAAATACAATTACTCACCCTACCATATGTAAGCTCTTGGTTGGATGCTATAAAGAAAAAATTATAAAACACAGACTTTGGCCTCAAGAACTTACATATGATAGGGAAAAAAGAACAGACTTTGGTCCCAAAGGACTTAGAAGAAAGTAAAATTAGATACTGCTGGGTATAGTGGTACACACTTGTAATTCTACCATTTAGAATGAGGCAGGACAATTACCAGCGAGTTCCAGGGTATCCTAAACTGTGTTATGAGTTCAAGTCCAGCTTAAACTACATAGTAAGACCATCTCAAAAAGAATAAATAAATAAGATACAGGCAGTGCCATTAGATAATATACATTATCATCGTCTATACCACTGTGTATATATTCTTACACAATATATATCATAGGATCATATGTACATATAGAAGGAAAGACACGCAAGGAGAACAAAACATAAGAAATAAAACACAAAGTCTCACTAAGTTTGGCCTCCAATTTGTGATTGTGATCCAACTGCCTCAGCCTCTGAATAGTTGAGATTATAGATGTGCACTACCTCAAACTTGAGATCCTGCCTCACTACCTCAGAGTGCTACAATTATAGGCATGTGCCAGTGCACCCAGCTTTTTAATTACCTTTCTGGTCTGAGAAGTAAAGTCTCCATCAGTTGCTTTAGACTTCTTAGATCTTTTCTTAGATTTTTTGGGAGTGCTAATTCTGGTAAATTTCATTCTGAAAAAGATATTTTGAAACATTTTCATTATAATATAAAATAATTAAATATAGAAATGAACCATTAACAGCTCCAATTTCTGGACTTAATTAGGAGGAGAAATTCAGTTTGATTCAAAAGTAAGCCAAACTTTATTGTTTATTTCCTTCTTTAAAAATAACAAACCTTACAGGAAAACTAAAATCATTCTTATTTTAGCCAGAACCAATATGCAAGTATATACTTTATCATATATGGGTCAGTTTACCCAAGAAATGACACTGTGGATTTTTTTTTTTTTTTTTTGGTACCAGGGATCAAACTTGGGCCCTTGCACTTGCAAAGCAGGTGGCAGAGCCACTGAGCTAAATCCCCGGCCCTGGAATTCATTTTTAATTTCATATATGATAAATACACAGAATTTATACTTGAAGGCTATTTCTCTAGGGATTATCAATTGTGATGAATAAGAGTTTAGAAGTCATCTAAAACAAAACTACAACTTTTATGAAATTGTCAATGACTTCAAATATGAAAAACAAGATTTTTGAGGGAGAAAGGGACAAGAAAAAAAGTGAAAATAGAAGAAAAAAATGGAAACAAAGCTTTTGTGCTTTTGTACATGGAAGGTGTGAAGGGAGCAGTGGGATAAAATTAAGTTTAAAAAAGAAAATTAGAAAAAAAGAAAAACAAGATTTTGAAATCCTATTCCTTTTCTTACAAATCAGCTGTGTTCCAGAAAAAATAATGTTCTCCAATGAGTGAAAAATTTTCCTTCCCAACTAATAATACATGCAGAATATTAGAACATTAGAACAGAAACAAAACTTTACCTAATAGGGCTCTCTGAATCGAAGGGTACTGTTATCAATTCTGCCGTGTACAGGCCATGTTTTTCTGATACAATGGGAGTGGAAGCCTTGACTGGACTATTGTCCTGTACATCTTCAGAATCGGTACCTTGAAAGGACACTGCAGTAGGTGTGCTGCTACATCTCGCAGATCTTCTGGTTGATTTGGGAGTGGAAACACTTACCAATCTGTCTGCAGGCTCAGCTTTAGAGTGCATACAATTATCACCTTTAAATGACATGCTGGTTTTTCTTAATGGTTTATTGTTACACAGAGAAGAAATTTTTAAAGGTTCATCATTTGCTTCACAAAAACTTTCACTGCTAAGTAATGTACTGCTTTTGAAAATTTTTGAATTCTTTTGCCTTAAACACATTCTAAGCCTATTTGGATTTTGTTTATCTTTTAAAGAAAGAGGTTTTTTTTGGTTTTGAGTATTTTCCTCTTTGGTCTCACCTGGAAAAGTACCCGTACCTAATGTTTTCTTACCCCTTTTCTTCACTTTTTTACTTTTCTTCTTAGAAAAACTTTCTTTATCAGTGTATGATTGTGAGCTGCCATTATTTGAAACCATTTGGATATCAGGATTTCCCATGATTTTTCTAGAATTATTATCACTTCCTTCCTCATTTAAAGATTTTTCATTGTGGTCTTTCTGCTTATCCAAAGGCTTTTTTACTGCATTCTTAAGTACATCTGCTGCAGGCTGCCTAAATGCTTTCATAAACTGCTGTCTTTCTTCTAGGGTACATTTTGGTTTCACAGCCTCAGAACTTCCAGCTTCCAACACTGCCAATTCTAATTCTTCCTCTTCTATAACAACATTAGATTTTCTTTTCTGAGTTGTCTGTTCATTTTCAGGATCAGACAGGCTACTTTCCAGCTCAAAATGCTTTTGCTTCAAGAAAATTGAGGCTATTTTCCCTGCCTTTTTTGGGGGGATGGGGTGAACTTGTGCAAGAACTGTGACTGTCTTCAAATGTGCCTGTGATATTTCACAGCTTTCTGATTCATTTATATAACGACTTTTGACTATTTCTTCAATATTTTGTGAAGGAACACAAATTGACATTGTAGAGTCTGGTATTTGTTCCACTTTATTTTCCTTGTGACTTTTTAAAAACTCTTCATATGAAATAGTTATTGTACCATCATTTAAATGGGCTGTTTCAGTTACATGATCACTAAAGTTTGTATCATTTGTAGTATTCTTGAATTCATCAGTTAGGGAAGAGCTTCTCTGTTTACTCTTGTTACTATCTTTTTTAAGCAGATTTAGTTCTTCTGCCAGGGGTAAACATTCAGTGAGGGCTATTATATCCCTCTGTTTCCTTTTTCTGGACTTTCTGTAATCATTTTCTGCAGTACCTTCTGGAGGACTTACTTTCTTGGAATTTTTTTGGGAGGTCATCATATGTGACTGTTTTTTGGTATCTTGGATATTTTCTGCATGAACCTCTATACGTTTTTTGTAATGTAAAACAGAAATACTACTTTCCACAACATCATTATTTAAACTAGAGTCATCTTCGCTATCATCACTATTAATTTCAATTGGAGATTCATTCTCAGTTTTAATATTATTTAGTTGATGAGATAAATTAACCCTCTTTCCCTTCTTCTTAATCTCTGTACTTGAGAACCATCCCAAAGGTTTCTTACAGTCACTGGTACTATTAGCAGGATACAGTGCAGAAGACTTTATCTTGCCCTCTTTCACTGATGGTACCTTCTCATTTGTGGGGGAAGTCTTTCTAAAATAATCCAAAATATTACTGGATTTTGGTGGAGAAAAAACCCTGTCTCCAGTCTTCTCTATTGGTGATAAATATTTTGTAATTGTTTTACAGGAAGGTCTGTCGTCATCTTTCCTTCGTTTTTTGCATGGCTAGCAATTTAAAAGAAGAAAAACAAGGCATTTATATCAAGGAAATAATATAAAATACAAATTTTAAGCATTAATCTAAAATAATATAAAATACAAATTTTAAACATTAATCTAAGACTAGATTTAAAAAAAGGGAGGTGTCATGCTTGCTTTGGCAGCACATATTCTAAAAAAAAAAAGGGAGGTGCCTTTTGGTGAAAAACATGATATACTAGAAAAAAAATGAGGTCAAGTATGGTAGTGCATGCCTATAATACCAGCATTCTGGGAGTCTGAGGCAGGAGGATGGAAAGTTCAATTCTAGCCTGGGCAGCTTAGTGAGATCTTATCTTAAAATAAAAAAAGAGCTCAGATGTAGCCCAGTATAAAGGCCATGGGTTCAATCCCCAGTACTGCAAGCAAGCAAGCCATAAAGCAATAAAATGAGCTCTAAAGTTAAACTCAGTGCTGGGAAAGCAACTTAGTGGTAGAGCACTTTCCTAGCATGTTTGAGTTTCCGGGTTCAATCCCTAGCACTGCAAAAGAAAAATAAATGAAAGTTAAACCTATATGCAGGTTTCAAAGTCACATCAAATTTTACACACAATACACATATATAATTTTACACTTTAATGTACACACATACACACACATATATTACACACAATACACATATATAATTTTACACTTTAATGTACACACACACACACACACACACACACACACATATATTATACTTTAACAAAAAGTTTATAGGCTGGGGATTTAGCTCAGTGGTTCTGCCGCCTGCCTCACAAGCACCAAGTCCCCAGTTTGATCCTGGCCCTCCCCGCAAAAAAGTTATTATATAGTGAAATAAAATCAAGACCACTTGGGCCGAGGATTTAGCTCAGTGGTGCCGCTGCCTGCCTTGCAAGCACAAGGTCCTGAGTTTGATCCCCGGTACAAAAAAACAAGACTACTATATTTACAATAAAATTTATTAATTTCTCTTGGCCTCTATTTACCATCTTTGAATAACACCAACCACTTCAGAGAATTTGTATTTAAATATATAAAAATCTATAAAAATACATAAAATCTGACACATGGTAGGAACCCTACAAATATCAATTCCATCAATTTCCTTTTTTTTTGTTCTGGGGATTGAACCAGGGCTCCATGCTTGCTCTTCCACTGAGCTATATCCCCAGCCCTTTTATTTTGAGACAGAGTCTTGCTAAATTGCCCAGGCTAGCCTCAAACTTGCAATCCCCCTGTTTCAGCACTCACTTAGAGCAACTAGGAATACATGAATATACCAGTGGGCATGATTGTTTTGAGACAAGTGTCTCACTACATCTCCCAGGCCATAAACTTGTGATCCTCCTGTCTCAGTCTCTTGAGTAACTGAGATCACAGGTGCCACTGTCCTCAGCCCATTTTACCTTTCTAGTTAAAAATAAAAATATCATTGTAACTATTTCTAAAAAAGACAGACATTTAGAGAACAAGTCTAGGGCCTCAAAATTTGCTAAATCATGTGGAAATTATGGTAAAAGAACACCAAAATAACATTTGCCACTAAAATATGTACTGCCTACCTTCTGAACTGGCTATTACCCTCAAAGTATCAAGGTGATTGTAATGCTACACAGTCATATTTTTGTTGGTCATAAATCAGTATCTTGCAGTCAACAATGATCACTGTACCCAAGCAAGTTGAGCAGAGGTTGTAGTGAGCCCAGGCATGGCTGAGAAGGACCAGGTCAGGCAATGGCTACTAGGAGTAGAGCACACGTCTCAAGATAGAAAATCACAAACCGGATACTAGTAGGAAAAACTTAAATTTTAATATAGCCAGAAAAATTAACCAACTTCCTGAAGCAGAAAGGAATCTACTTGAACCCTGTTGCAATCTTCTTGTTTCAGCCTCTGAGAGTGCTGGAATTACAGGCATGTGCCACCATACCTTGCTCTTCCAGAGGAATTTGAATGTGATGCAGGTTTGCATATAGTTGTAGGTTTACCCATGGCTGTGATCCTGTTTTGGGCAGTGCATATATCTACATATTTTACAAAGGTTTTATAAGTTTACTTTCAAATAAAGGTGATCTGAATTTGGAAATGTGTACCTTAACATAGGATAAATTCACTGGTCTTGTTTTTGATGGTTTGTACCCTGGTTTCCTGACATACCTGTGAATGGTGGCCTAGTAGCCAGGTATAAGTTAACCTTGCTACCAAAGGGAACAACCTGCCAGGTTGAAATTTATAAGCTTGTCTTTAGAAAAATGTCATTTTCCATTTTACTTTAGGCTGCGTTTGTGGCATACCTTAATTCTAGAAAATATAAACTACTTAAAAAGCCCCTTCAGTTATACCTGAACCTGGCCTAGAAAAATAGAAAACATTTATCACTTTACTGGTTAGAAAAAGCTCTATCTCCCCCACCATTTTTTTTGGTGTGGTGATGGGGATAGAATACAGGCCTTGCATATATACCTCCATCAGTTTTTAACTTCAGTTCATTTGTTAGAATAAATATGCCCAGAATAACAAAGACCTTTTCGTTCTTCTTGTTTGTTTGTTCTTTGAGACAGGGTTTTGCTATGTAGTCCAGGCTGACTTTAAACTTACTATGTAGGCTACATTGGCCTTGAACTCCCAGCAATCCTCCACTTCACACTCCCAAGTCCTAGGATTACAGGTGTGTGTGCCTTCATGCCTGGCTCAATGACTTGGGCTGGAGATTTACCTCAGTGTTCCACTGCCTACCTCACAAGCTCAAGGTCCAGAGTTCGATCCCCGGGGCCGGGGATTTAGCTCAGTGGTTCGGTGGCCTGCCTTGCAAGCTCAGGGACCTGAGTTCAATCCCCAGGTACCAAGACAAAACAGAATTCGATCCCCAGTACCATAAATAAATAAGTGGGGTTTTTTGTTTGTTTTTTGTACTGGGGATTAAACTCAGGTCCTTGCACTTGTAAGGCAGTTGGTGGAACCACTGAACTAAATCCATGGCCCATAAATGTATTTTGTATTACAAAGCTATTGTGATTGCCTGGCACAGTGGTGCACACCTGTAATCCCAGCCCTTGGGAGGCAGAGGCAGGAGTATCACCTAGTTTTAGGCCAGTTATATAGTGAGTTCAAGGCCAGCCTGAATGAGACTCTATCTCAAAAAACACAAAAAAACAAAAACAAAAAAAGCCCTGGCATGTTGGCTTGCCTTTTCAAGATCCTTTTAATACAAGCGATACCCAAGTAAACAGATAAATTCAAGACTTGTTGTTAAATGACCAATCGGTGTATAAAGACAACACGAGAATAACATGTGCACTTGATAACAGCCATGGTTATGTCTAAAATGAATCTTCAAATGTACTTAATGCACCTGTGCAAAATCAAACATCTGAATTTTGGTGCCTGCAATTTTTCATCACTTTTGTGTAGACCATCATTCTTAACTATTGTCATTTTTATTGCCATTCCTGTCTTGTAAGTCTTCAATTAACACTCGATTTTGGGCTGGGGATTTAGTTCAGTGGCACCACAGCTGACTCGAAAGCTCAAGGTCCTAAGTTCAATCCCCAGTATAAAAAAACAAAAACCAAAAAAAATTTTATTTAATGAAAACTTCTTGAAGCCTAGCCTACAAAAGGTCATGACTTGTATGCAGAATTCATGGGATACAAATCACTGAAAGGGTTGGGGATTTAGCTCAGTGCTGCTGCAGCCTCACAAGAGCAAGGTTCTGAGTTCGATTCCCAGTACAAAAAAAAATCACTGACAACCATGTTGCCAGTGCACTAGGAGCAGGCCACATGCTCAAGAAGTGCTCATTTAAGGTGAGGTTTATTACTGGACATGAGAGATTGGGGCCAATGGTTCTACAGGAAATAGAGTCGCAAGAAATGAAGGCTAGAATTCAGGGTTTAGAGAGTTATGACGATGTTCCAGAAGCTGCATGACTGTATTTGACATAAATATAATTTGAATTTGGACATGAAAAAAATAAGACACCCCCTGAAAATAAGCCCTATTGTATCTTTTTGGACCAAAAATTAATATGAGACTAAAAACTAAAAGGCTGGGGACGTGGCTCAGTGTGAAGGTGATTGATTCAATTTCCAATACCAGGAAAAAAAATTAGACAAAGTTACTTTACTCCAAAAAATAAGAAAATCTGCATTTAAGTGGACACACATTTTAGCTCACTTCAAGGATACCCAGACATCAAGGAGAACGCTACCTAAATTGAAAAGGTGTAAAAATACAGGACAGTATAGCTTCAGATGCTAACCCACTACTTCAAAGACTAGAATATCACAATGAGAGCTTAGTCATAGAAACTTGATAAATATAGAACATCAGCACCACTCCACGACTCCTAACTGCAGTATATTAAGCTCTGAAGTCATGAGAAATTTGTTTCCTTATTAAATAATTTGATTCATGTAGTGATATTCTAAATAGAATTAATTCCTAGGACAAGCAGATGTGTGGACTACTCGAAATGAAGAACCTTTTCAACGCTAAAGTTCTATGAATCCGCATCAGGCACCCACAACTTTGACTATGGTTCTTCGTGACATGTCAGAAGCCCAAAACATCACATTTCATTTCAGAATCTGAGTACTGGCTGTGTTTTCTTCAGTCCTGATTTACCAAGATTCCGCAAACATCTCACACTCCCAATGTTTGTCAGGATTTAGAACGACTCTAAGAAATGACACCTTCGGGCAATGGAACTACACAATGACGTAACTATGAGACCTCACCACGTCCCTCTTTTCCCTTCCAGAGGATCCTTTTCCGCCCACCCCACAATTCTCCAACAGACCCAGGAAGGAACCTGACAGATACTCGCTCTCACCTCAATCTCATAGTCTTTCACGGGAGGGGGAGCAGCCGCCATGGCCAGGATCCCCACCATGCTCACTGCTTCCCAGAATCGCAGCTCCTAGGACCGTGAGAGGTCCAGCACAGCCAGTATGAAGGCCATTGAGGCGGCCCGCTCCTTGCAGGAGGCCACAGGCTAGGGCTTAGGCTCCCCCGCGTTAACCCGCGCCAAGTGAGAAGGGACGCTGGGCCCAGCACCGAAAAGCCAAACGCGGAAAGAGGCAGTGAGAAAGCGCGGGCAGCGAGGCACCTGGGAGGTAGCCGGCGAATACAGGGTCCCCAAGCAGGAGCTCCAGGCTGAGGGCTCCGGACTAGGGCCTGGGCGGGGATAGCAGACAGAACACAGACTGGACCGCGGGGCTTCGGAGGGAGTTCTTGTCAATTGGGTTTTCGCGCCGTCCTGAGCTCAGAGGGCGGAGCTTACGACTGCTTTGTGGAGGCTGCGCGGACGGTGAGTCTGAAGGGCCAAAATACATCGCCTGGTGACTTTCAAGAGGCGGGACTAATTGCATCACAGTTTTAAAACAACCGGGAATTTGGAGATTCAAATTTCCGTCCCAGAGCCAGTTTCAGTGTGATTTGACTAAGGCCAGTTACTGAAAAACGTCTAATTTTGGTCTTTTCTTTCTTCTCCCCAGCTATAGACATTATTACCAACGTTTTCTTTCTTTCCTTTTCTCTTTTTTTCTCCCCTTTGGACAGGGTCTTATTATAGCCCAGGCTACTCTGGATTTCCTGATTCTCCTGCCGCACTTCCTGAGTGCTAGGAGTACAGGCACGAGCCACCATGCCTTGTTCTGTTGGTACCCGGGATCGAACTCGTAACTTGCACCTGCAAGGCAGGCGGCGGCACCACTGAGCTGAATCCCCGGCCCTATTTGCTAAGGCTTTTTTAAAAGACTTCTGTGTATCCATAGAAAACTCATTAGTTTGTTTTTATTTACATGAATGGTAACACTAAGTATCATTCAGCAATTTGATACTTTTTTACTCAATATTGTTTTCAAGAGCCATTCATTATATATGTTGATAATATTAATTCCCTTTTCTCAGCATTACATCAAGTATGCACATTTATTTACCCATTTCCTTAGCATTTAGATTGTCTCCCAATTTTCTGCTACTTAATGAGTAGACATTGAATAATCTTGTCCATGTTTCCTTGAACACGTATAATGTTTCTCTAGGATACACAAGGAAAAAGTACAGGGCTATTGGATATATCTCCAGTGGTTTTTCTGGGGGGTGGGTGGGTACCAGGGATGGAAATTGGGTCATTGTGCTTGTTAGGCAGGCAGCAGCCCCACTGAGCTAAATCTCTGGCCCTCTAGTGGTTTTTATTCTTTTGAATTACAAACCATTTAAATTGCATTGAGTTAAGCATGTATACTGAATTTATTTATTTATTTATTTATTTTTTGGTACCAGGGATTGAACTTGGGTCCTTGCTCTTGCAAGGCAGGCCACCGAACCGCTGAGCTAAATCCCCGGCCCTATACTGAATTTATTTTTAGTGTTGTTGTTGTTGTTATTAGTTTTGTCTTTGTTTTTTATTTTTTGAGATAGGGTTTTGCTATGTAGTTCAGGCTGGCCTTGAACCCACTATATAACCCAGGCTGGCCCCAAACTCATGGAAATCCTCCTGCCTCAACCTTCTAAGTACTGCAAGTACAAGGATGTACCACCAGACCTGGCTTTATTTTTAGATATATGGTGTTTTGTGTAACTCTTATTTAGGAGCACATGGCATTTGTTAATTTTTTTTTTTTTTAATGACAGGGTCTCATTATGTGGTTCAGGCTGGACTTGAAATCTCTATGCAGCCCAGGTTGGCCTCAAACTCAAAGCAATCCTCCTGTTTCAGACTCCCAATTGCTGGGATTACAGGCATGCGCCACCACACCTGGCCATCTGTCAATTTTTTTTGGTACCAGGGATTGAACTCAGGTTCTTGTGCTTTTGAGGCAGGCAGCAGCACCACTGAGCTAAATCCCGGGAGACTCTGTCAATTTTTTTTTTTTGAGACAGGGTCTCACTACGTAGTTGAGACTGACCTGGAACTCACTATGTAGCCCAGGCTAGTCTCAAAATCACAGTGATACTCCCGCATCAGCCTCCCGAGGGCTGGGATTACAGGTGTGTGCCACCATGCCTGGCCAATGATTTAACTTTCTTATAATAATACCCTCTATACTTCTCCTCCAACCCTATGTTAGTCACTTTTTCATTGCTGACAAAATACTTGACGCATACAACTTAAATAAGAAAACTTTAATTTTGGCTCACAGTTTCAGAGGCTTCAGTCCAGGTGGGCTGGTGGAAATAACACGACAGAAGGGCACAGAGGAGCAAAGCTGTTCCCTTCATGGTGGCAGGAAGCAGAGACAGGGAAAGATCTCGAGAGGAAAGGACCAGGGGCTAGGTACAGTCCCCAAGGTGGTCCCCACATGACACACCCAGACACACGCAGACACACCCAGAACTCTGCTTTCCTAGGTATCTCTAAAACTATTATGTTGACAATGAATTATTAACCATCACATCTACCCCTCGTCAACTTGACACTCAGACATGTCTGACTCCTTAAACCGTATTTAATTTCAAAATAGAAATAATAACAAGGCCAGGGAGTTAGCTCAGTGGTTTCGCCACCTGCCTGCCAAGATCAAGGACCAGAGTTCAATATCCGGTGACCGCCAAAAAGTTCTAATTTTTCCTGACATATGTAACTGTCCTACACACAAATGGAAATGCCTTGATTCCTCCCTCCCAAGTCCCAGGATTGCTGAAAAGTCCAATTTATTTGTTTGTTTGTTTGAGACAGGGTCTTGCAGGCTGACCTTGAACTCGCTGTGTAGCCCATGCTGACCTCAAACTCCCAGCGATCTTCCTGCCTTAGCCTCTCATGTGTTGGGATTACAGGTGTGCACAATGATACCCAGCTACCCCTGTAAAAAAAATTTTTGTGTTTTTTGCTACTGGATACTGGAGATCAAACTTTGGACCTTGTGCTTGTGAGGCAGGTGACGGCACCACTGAGCTAAATCCCTGGCCTACCCCTATAAAATTTTAAAAGTTAGTTATGTGCTCCCAAGATACAATGGCAAATTCCCTAGGATGAATGTTATCATCATATATATCTAAAATACCAATAGTAGGCCAGGGATTTAGCTCAGTGGTTCTATCACCTGCCTCACAAGCACAAAGTCCAGAGTTTGGTCCCCAGTACCAAAAATAATTAAATACCAATAGAGGTTTTGCTAAAAAGAAGAAAAAGAAGATACAATAGTACAGCCAGCTGAGATGGTGCACACCTGTAATCCCAGCACTTGGGAGGCTGAGGCAGGATGATCACCTCAAGTTGGAGGCCAGCCTAGACTACGTAGTGAGTTCAAAGTCGGCCTGCACTAAAGAGATCCTGTCTCAAAAAATAAAAAATAAAAAATGAATAAAAAAACAATTAAAAAAAAAGGTAAAATGACAGAGGGTAAATAGCTATTCCTGTTCCATACTTTTTTTTTTTTTTTTTTTTTAAGCCAGGGATCAAACTCTGGACCTTGCATTTGTGAGGCAGGCAGCAGAACTACTGAGCTAAATCCCTGGCTCTTGGTATTCCTGTCCCAAAAAGGAGAAAAAGGAAATAGAAAGGGATCTGACAAAAATGAGACCAGAGCCCAGCAGGGCACACATTAACTCCTGCAGCGAATGACCAGTATCCAGGGCACCAAGTAGCTTGACATAGCTCCAAAGGGCAGGGGCAGCCTCCACAGTCTATCTACTGGGCTGACTGTGATCACTGCTTGCAGCTTTCCTCAGCAGATGCTCCACGTATGAGGCATTTCCAAATTCCTCGAGTCTCCATTGCAGCTTTGGCCTCACTCCCCAGCTTCCTGCATCCCCTCTTGGGGCTCTTGACAAAGATTTCAAACCTGCTGCACACTGCCCAGTTTTCCAGGCCTTCCTCTGAAATCATCTTTAAACTCAGTCTCCCTCACAGACCCAGAACATGGACAAAATACCAAGAAGTTCTTTGCCAAAATGTAATATACACAGCCTCTAGTCTAATTCCAATAGAATCCTTGTTCCCATCTGAAAGCTCATGAGCACAATCTTGACTGTCCCCATTCCTAGCAGCATTCTGATCTTCTGAGATCCCACAGGAATCACCCATCAACCAAAGCTTACAGCATTCAAGACTGTTTTTTTTTTTAGCATTCAAGACTATCTACAGCCTGCTTCTCCAAACTTTTCCAAATTATTCCTGCAAATCAGTTTGAAAGGGTTGTAAACCAGATGATCAGATATAGTCACTGCATTCCCCATACTCCCAGTATCTATTTTCTGTATTAGTCTCTTTTCCATTATAAAATACCTACATACACATCTTAAAGAAGAAAATGTTTATTTTTGCTCAGGGTTTCAGAGATTTCAGTCCATGGGAAGCTGGCCCCAAGGAGAAATATCTTGGCAGGAGAATATAGTAGTGCAAATTTGCTCACTTCATGGCAGCCAGAAAGCAGAGAGGCAGTGAAAGAGACTGAAGGGAAGGGACTAGATACAGTCCCCAAGGTCACACAACCATGACTACTAAGATACCCACAGAAGTGTGCACTTGGTGCTCACCTGTAATCCCAGCACTCGGGAAGCTGAGGCAGAAGGAACGCCATGAGTTTGTCAGCTGGGCTACAGAGAGAGTTCAAGGCCAGCCTGAACTACAAAGTGAGACCTTGTCTTGAAGAACAAACAAATAAAGGTGCTGGGGATTTAGCTCAGTGGCACTGCGCATCCCTTTCAAGCACAAGGTCTTGAGTTCCATCCCCAGTACCAAAAAAAAAAAAAAAAGGAGAGAGATTAACCATTATCACAAACCCTTTCAATAGATTAATTAATAAGGAAATTGTGCTACAGACACAAAAAAGTAACATATGCAATGAAGATGAGTCTCAAAATTTTTATCATGCGTGCAAAAGACAGGTGAAAAAGGAGTACATGCTGTATTTTATTCATGTAAAATTCTACAAAACACCAATTTCAGTATTGATACTTGGTCTGTAAAAGGTTTTCCCTCACTGGCATAGGGGCTATGGGCTTGGAAGATCTAATTCAAATTTTAACTAAGCCTCTTTATTTTAGTCCCATTCTTCTAATCACCTTCTGAGGTCTTTATCCCCATCCATTTGTCCCTTCATCCATCCATTCCATAAATACCACTGAGTGCTTGTTAACTGCTGGTTGTCAACAAAGAAACTCTAAACAAAGCAGACAAAAATCCTTGACTTGTTGTTTATACTCTAGTTAGAAAGGACATTAATAAAGATAATAAGTAAAATATATGGCATGATAGGTAGAGAAAAATAGGAGAAAATAATGCAGGTATTTGCATAAGAAAAGGAATATCAAAAGACAGACTGCAATTTTAAAAAAATTTTTAAACTTTTTTGGTACCAGGAATCAAACTG